TTTAAATAGGGAGTGTGATACATGTTTATGGTTTATAGTCTAACTTTTTAAAGCCGAGTATTTTTTAGATGCTTTTAAACCTTACTAGGGTCAAGAAGAACAATGAGAAACTAAACATGATGAATATTAACATGGAGAAAATAGATTGATAACAATACAGATAGAACACTAGATGTCGTCTTTTCAAGATGAGGGGTTTTTCTTTCACAATAACCCTGAGGCAGAAGTCCAAAGGAGCTCTTTCTTTATCTTGTCATTCAACGCGGCATGCGCTTTGGGCTTCTGCCTCATGGTTATTGTGAACGAAAAACCCTTAAATCTTGCATTGTTATTAATGTTTGATGGAGATAAGCAAAATCAAATCAAATCATATATTTCTGCAGAAAAAAACCAATATTTACGAATTAATTTTTAAAAATCACAATAAGTAAAATATTATTTTCTGCAGCAGGCGGACTCAATAGCCGGGGCTGTTTTAGCTGAGCCCCCCTGTTAACCAAATTCTTTGATTGAATTATAACATTTAAAAAAAATACATACACAAAAGAACCAAAGAGAAAATCAGTGCAGCATCAATCGAAGGTTGGGCATGGAGACAGATAGGGATTCATAACGTAGACAGAGAGTAACTAATATATTTGATTTTAAAAAAGATCTTGGGCTCAAAGTAAACGGCAACTCCGACAAAGATATTAAGGAGGGGGGGAGGGGGGGATGAATGCGTAATCCACCACTGGGGCCCAATCCCATTAACTGGGAGAGTATCTGCCTTCTCGGTGTATCACGCATCTCTCAACCCCAATCCCCTCATTATGTTCATAAAATAATCATCCCAAAAAGTTGGATCAAGATCAACATTAACCCCCGTATTAAAAGGGGGAGGGGGGATGAGTGTGTTATCCCCCATTGGGGCCCAATCCCATTCACTGGGAGAGTACCTGCCTTCTCGACGGATCACACACCCCACACCCCAAATCCCTTCCCAACATCCATACATCAATCATCATTAAACATTTGGACTAAGATCATCAAGATTTAAAGGGGCCGGGAGGGGGGGATGAGTGCGGGATCCCCCACTGGGGCCCGATCCCATTAATAAATATATAAATAAATGTATATACTTAGTTAAGTTTGTGATCGTGGTATATGTGCTAGACCTAAAACAGGTTAAGTATGTTGGTATATTGTATAGATGCGTATCAAATGTATTTTGAACAGTTTAAGTATGTTGGTATATTGTATAGATGAGTATTGAATGTATTTTGAACAGTTTAAGTATGTTGGTATATTGTATAGATGAGTATTAAATGTATTTTGAACAGTTTAAGTATGTTGGTATATTGTATAGATGAGAACTAAATGTATTTCAAGCTGCTATGAGAATCCAATAGATTAGTCCCATGAGACTTGTTTAACCAAGACTCTAACCAATTACATTTACTGTCCACTTTATACTATACTGTAAACCACACATTTTACAATAATGATATTAGATAGACATTGCAATGCACGTTTTTCTTTTGTAAAATTTTGTATTTTCTAAAGGATGAGACTTCAAAGATAGTTTACTTCATAGTTTTCATGGTAAATGACAAAAGTCAGTATAGAAATCTTTGTATTTAAAAACTTCAAGGTCAACATTATAAAATCATCCTTTGCGGGTAATTTTGTACTTTAACCCTATTCCTGCTGGGTGGGGGGTCAATTTGACCCCCCCTGTAGTTTTTTTTACATAACTCAAAAAGTATTGGTCTGAGGCTGTGGAAATTTTCTGACTTTTCTTACATATCCAAAGCTCTCCCTTCAGGCCTAAAACCGGGCTTTAATACTAACTGCCTGAGTCCTCAGGCACACTGCCTGAATGACTACTTTTGCCTGTAACAAACTAAATCTTTGTTTTGACCCACTTTCACTTGTCAGATTTTGATAAAATTTAGCTTTTTGGAAAGCCTATGACATAAGGAAACGGATTGCACAAGTTTTGCGAAAAAAAATTTCAAATTTTTTGCAAACAACCTGTCAAAGGAAATTTGCACATTTTTAGTTTTTCTTGATTAAAAATCAGGTTATTTAAAATTTTGCAAAAATTTTTGCATATTTGAAATGGCAAGGTCAAGGGATTTTGCGATAAAAAATTCAATTTTTGCAAATTTGCAATTTTTTTGCAGATTCTAAAAGTAGAGCACAAGAGCTTTATAATGATGTATCATTTGTCATATTTGGACATAAAACATGGGATTTAGAGGGGGGGGGGTCAAATTGACCCCCCCAGCATATCCTGGTTTTCAAGTACCCCAGCAGGGATAGGGTTAAGGAACATCGTTGACCGATAAGTCTAGGGAAATGTGCCTAAAAGAAGGACAGTGAAAAACATAAAATTGTGAAATTGAAAATCAAAAATTAAATTCATGAGTATGTTAATATTTTTTTTTAAATAACTAGGTTACTGTTGCACACACATATAATTCACTTAATAGGTTTATTTAAAATTTATTGCTAAAGCTAAATGCTGTTAAATAACATTAAATACACATGATTGCTGAAATGTCATATTATGGGACTCACTTTCTAAATATAATGTGTTACGTTCCAGCTTTACTCCGATATACATCACTAAACGTGCCCAGTCCTACTCTAATCTACTCCACTAAACGCGCCCGGTCAATACTGTTATCTACTCCAGTAATCGTGCCCAGTCCTGCTCTAATTTACTCCACTAAACGTGTCCAGTCTTACTCTAATCTACTCCGCTAAACGTGCCCAGTCCTGCTCTAATCTACTTCACTAAACGTGCCCAGTCCTGCTCTAATCTACTCCACTAAACGTGTCCAGTCCTGCTCTAATCTACTCCACTAAACGTGCCCAGTCCTACTCTAATCTACTCCAGTAAACGTGCCCAGTCCTACTCTAATCTACTCCAGTAAACGTGCCCAGTCCTACTCTAATCTACTCCACTAAACGTGTCCAGTCCTGGTCTAATCTACTCCACTAAACGTGCCCAGTCCTGCTCTTATATACTCCACTAAACGTGCCCAGTCCTACTATAATCTACTCCACTAAATTCATTATAAAACATTCCTTTCATTTAAAACTTTTACCGAGACATGAAATTCCAACTTTCAAAATTCAAACAATTTAAACTTTCTCTTTTTCAAATTCCTTTAATTCCGCCAACTTTTCTTTTCTAGAGAAATTGAGAAAATCTTTCAGTTCATATAATGTTGTCATCTAGAAAATGTTTGAAGTATATTATTCTAATCCTATTATGAAGAAAATTACCGAAAATGCCATAATCATATTTTTGAATGAAATGATAAATAATCCATTTAAAAGAGAAAAGGCACCAAATAAGGCTTACCATCTCTAAACACATATAGTCAAACGCCTAAAAAATGTAATTTGTTAGGGTGAAATTCTGCAGAAGACTTTATCGAAAGTAATTAAATTGATAGCTACGGTTTAAGAAATAAAACAAGGTGGTAAAAAGTATATAAAATTGACAGGAGAACAAAGAGCAAAAAGTTAAATTATCTTGAAAAAACAGAATGACATTTTAGATCCCAGTTCTTATCATATTACGATTTTCTCATATCATTCCTAGTAGGACCTTTAAATGGTGCCATGACAAACTCCTGAAAGACAAACTCCTGAAAGACAAACTCCGGAAAGACAAACTCCTGACAAGACAAACTCCTGACAAGACAAACTCCTGAAAATACAAACTCCTGAAAGACAAACTCCTGAAATTATGAAATTTTTCTCTGAATGAAATATGATAAAATTCATAAACTTTAGGAGAAAAAAATCCGCAAATATCCTAGAAAAAATTCTCAATCTTTAGTAATTTGAATATGCTTCTAGCAGCAAAGTATTACAATGATCAGAATAACCAGCAAATTTATTATTATTTATTTTTTATTATTTAGGGTTAGGTTAGGTTAAGACACTTTCTGGGCCGAGCGCTGCGGCTAGGACAGGCTAGGGGGCCGAGTGCTGCAGCCATGGGTTAGGTTAGTTAAGACACTTTCTGAGCCGAGTGCTGCGGCTAGGACAGTTTGGGGGGCCGGGCGTTACGGCCACATGGTCAATTATATCCATGTCTAACATATAAGATCCATGTACAAAATTGATAGGAGGCGGGGGGGCCTGGGGGGGGGTCCAAAAATCGTTCTCTAGGAAATTACCTAATTGTATAATTAGAATAGAATATAATTTAGATTTAAATTTTTTTAAATTTGATATTATGGAGTTTGTATTTCAGAAGTTTTTATTTTCAGGAGTTTGTCTTGTCAGGAGTTTGTCTCGTCAGGAGTTTGTCTCGTCAGGAGTTTGTCTTTCAGGAGTTTGTCTTTTCAGGAGTTTGTCTTTCAGGAGTTTGTCTTTCCGGAGTTTGTCTTTCAGGAGTTTGTCATGGCGCCCCATTAAATATTTATGTTAATTATTTTTGTACGTCAAGAGGTACCAGAAAAAAATGGCGCAGTTTAGAAAACAATTCTTAGGACAGTTTTTTCTTTTTCCTTTTTAATCATTAGACGGTTAGGTTAGACGATATTTTATAAATGGAAACTTTTTATATTCCCATAATACTTTGATAAATCTTTCTCAATGTTTTAATCAAGAATTCTTATTGAAATACTTTATAAGAATTCGAACAAAACTAAAAGATTGCACAGTAAAAGAAAAACATTTTTAACATTCTGTGAGATGAGAAAAATGTCGGTTCCCAATGATTCAAGCTCAAAATCTCTATATTGTGATTCAAATACAAATATTTTTACCGAAATCCAATTTTATGCTTAGAATATGAAGAAGTAAAAACTTATTCCATATGTAGCATTTAGGGTCATTAAATCTTATTTGGAAAGGGTTGGATACAAACATATATTAAAGCTAGTAGTTTATTTTTTCTATGTTAACCAATCCTACTTTGATTAAAAATTATCATCAATCTTGACTAGACATTATTTTTCAAATTGACTGGTTAGTTAAAAATTGCATATTAACACATTTTATTTATTTTAAACTTTATATAATTACATTTTCCTTAAAACTAACTATATCACTGGTTAAATTTATGATAGTAAATATCTACACAGTTGTTATTTTTTGATTTATTAGAAACTAGCTGGAGTGCTCGGTGTTTCCTAGGTTTATATTATTAGTCATTGTCATAGTTACTTGTTGAAGCTTGGAACATAAGATAATCTTAAGCCTTAAACCTTTCCGTTTAAGAGAAACCTTCTGTCCAAAAACCAAAATAATAGTGTTATAAATACTCGTAGTTAAATTATACCCAAGCCAATACACATTTTCATTTTAAAATAGTAACAAGCGAAGATGACAATTTTTCATTTTTTATCGGTCATCACCGTATCATTATTGAGTTCATTATAACATGAACCAATTTTTTATTAACACTAGATTGTATTTGTTTAAGAATGAGGTTTAATGAGGCGCATCATTGTTTTCCTTAAATCATATCTGAGCAGGAATATTGCACAGGGTTCCAGTATTGTCTTCAGAGACGCCAAACCAAACTTTAGAATGAGAAATGCCGCAACATTTTCTTCTGGCGATGAAATCATCAGTTCACTGATCAGGCTAAAATAAAACATATATTTGTGTATATTTTGGGGCTTAGCTCCTGTTGGGACCCAAAAAACCCTGGAAACCATAGATTTCACTAATCCAGGGGGGGGGGCATATTGGGGTATTTCAGGGAGTCAGGGGGGGAGAGGTGACTGTTTTTTGCCAAAATACTCCTCTTCAAATGCATTTGTCTTGTGTTTCATTGTGAGAATCGACAAAATTAATATATTCTGATAATCTTTTCATTTCCAAATATTGTATCAACTGTAGCTATAGACATTGATTTCAATTTATAATTACTTTTCCAGTTCATATATTTATCCTTGAATGCATCCTATTAGCCTGCAATATATTTAGATGTCGTACTAAAACATAACATTTAGACAACTTATAGCCTTCTCTCAAAAAATATTCTTAAGCGGCCAAGCCTTATTTGACATAAATAAGAGGTTTATGGAATAAACTCATTTTAGTACCAACTTGGGGGGGGGGGGGCCTGATGACACCTCTGCATTTAGTTTTTTTTTATGGGTGAACAATGATGTTTAGAATGTAGAAAAAACGATATTCAAAACTGAATAAGATTTAAAAAGTATAATTGTTGAATAAGATATTTTACCTGGGTCCGGTAGTAAATATATTAACAAGATAAATCCAGGTTGATAACCAGATAACAGAATATATCTCCATCTTTGATTCATATTTAATTTTACATTTTGAAAATATTTGTTTTTCCAGCAAAATCATGTGTTTTTTGCTTACTTTTTTTAAGCAATTACTTGAAGACCAAGGATTTTTGAAAATAATTGAAAACCTTAATTTTTCAAGTTCCGTTAAAAATCTTTAAAACTTTTTATTTTCGCAAGACTGCCGACCATAAAGAAAGCTAATAAAGCCATGCGGGCATATTCATATATATTGATACTTCTTGACTGAAAAGGATATACAAAAAAAAAATAAAGTCTTTGTCACAAACTCTGATTTTCTCTTTATCTATATTTATGCGACCCAATGTCATACACCTAAGATATTTCAAACTATGAATGCTGTTTGATCAAATACTTTAAGTTTGAAATGTCAAAGGTGTACACCATTAGGTTGCAAGGATTACAGGATTAGAAAAATTGAGCTTGTTGCTAAAACTAAGTGTATTAGAAAGTTTAAAATTAAACGGAATTAATGTTCGTTTGTCCTCATTCCAAGTAATTATAGGCATCGTTTTTAATGTTGTAGGAACTTTAATGAGCTCCACAAGAATCTGAGATTTTTAACTTATTTAAAAATGTTATGCTTGATAAGTTTGCTTTCATTATTTTATGCAAATGTATTACTCATGGCCAGAAACAGCCACAAACAATTTTTTAAAACTATTGGTAAAATCGTTTTGAAAGATCTTAAATATCTTGCTTACTGTTGCTTAAAGTAATTTATTCGAACTTTTTAAAAATCGAATTTTGTGTGCAGTGTCAAATATATCAGATGCTGTTAGAGCATATTTCAGACCAAAAAATCATAAATGTGTAAAAATGGACCTCAAAACTATGCCCATCTCTACTTCCAGGCTCCAGCCATGTAAAAAATAATAACAATATAAAAAAGTGAATTCAAGAAACCAACATACCTCAGTGACAAAAATACTACTTTAAGTTAAGAAAATATTTATGTTTTCTACAAAAGAATTTAAACTTTTCTGCAATAAATTGTCTGAGCAAGATAAATATTTTCAATATTGATATAAATGGCTTTACACAAAAATAAATAAACCCTTCCTATTGTTATAAAAAGTAAAATGTTAAATTCAAAAATTACTTACTTGGGCTATTATAAGATTTGTAATAATAGATAAAATCAAATTGATTAACAGTATGGGTGATAAATGTTTACTATTTTTAGGCTACTATTAACCCTATTATGCTGGGGATGTACCCCATGACGTTTTTGGACCATATTTATAATGCATTAGTCCGACGCTGTTTATTAAACAGTGTTAAAATTTGTTTAATCAGAGTTTGTAGAAACTAAATTCCTTTACTTTCAGTTCAAGAAATTTTATATCTGGATACACCATATACTATATGCTATGCAAAAAGTTAATTTAGGAAGAATAATAAGAACTATAGGTCCAAAAGTGGCCTTTATACCTATTACCCGTCTTTTCAGACATACTGCCTGGACTTATTGTAACTCTATACCAGACTAAATCTATTCTAAGACCTATACTTCCTTGGATTTAAACATTCTATAAAGAATATTGTATTCATACAAACGAATCCTATCTCAGCCAATTGAAGAAACATTTGATATAATCTCTGAATCTTTAATAGAATCTCATTACCCTTTGACAGAACCTCTTAAACCTTTCCATGGATCGACTCTCTTTACCCTTTGATAGAATCTCTTGACCCTTGAATAGAATCTCTTGACCCTTTGTTAGCATCTCTTAACCCTTTGATAGAATCTTTTAAACCTTTCCATGGATCTAATATTTTCACCCTTTGATAGAATCTCTTGACCCTTGAATAGAATCTCTTGACCCTTTGTTAGCATCTTCTAACCCTTTTATAGAATCTTGAAACACTTTTTTATAATCTTAAACTTTAACCAAATCTTAAATTTATAAATAGAATTTAATCAAAATGTTAAAATGAAGAGTGAAAAATAAAAATTAATAAACGGTCTAGGTTGAAAAAGTTGTGAATTGATTTAAAAATTATTAATCATTTTGATATAACAGAGAGTATATAAACTTTTAATACACAATCATATTTCTCAGAAACAAATAAAGGATATTATTTTTCTTACACGCACATCTTTAGTAAAAGTAAATTCAACCTAAAGTCTGACCGCGTCGACCTTGTTGCACCCGCTAGTCTTATTAAGTGTCTGCTTTATTTACCCAGTGTCCGGGCGATACAGTACAAACTGGGACCGGAAAGGTTGACCCGGTTTGGAAATTCAAATGTACTACGCTGCACGTGCTTATATACAATAAAAGTAAGAAAAATAGAAAACATGAAATGAAATTGTTGTATTTGTATTGTATAGTCACGTGTGTGTATTATAAAATGGAATTTATTTTCACACCAGGTATTTTTCTCTCTCTGGGATAAAAGAGAAATAAAGTAAATTAAATTGTTCCTTTGAAGAATCTTCTTTGGAGCTTTCAGCTTCAGGATTGCTACTGAAACAAAAAAATTTTTTTTACTTTTTTACAAGAATTGAGAAATTTTCTCAAAAGAAAATATTCTGTTTTAACAATCATCAACTATTGATATAGAAATGTATATAAAATTTATTTAAAAGAACGTATCAACATAATTTCAAGTAATCCTCTAATTGGATATAGGTGTCCAGAAATCCAGGAAATGCAAATCAATATTGGTGCGAAAAGGTCTATGAAAAATGAATTATATTTTATATAACTTGAAGTAAAGGACTAGACACTTTCAGTTAATGCCTATGTTTTGAGATAGAAAAAGGTGATATTAACCCGTGTTTGCCCAGACAAAGCATTTAAGGGTACCGTTGTAAATTAGACACGCAACTATATAGATAGCGATTTAATTGAAATAAGTGTACATTCCTTTCACTTGAAAAAATGATTTTTATTTATTTTCTTTTATATTTTTATATAATATATATAATGCTTATACATGTAACTAATTCTATTATTGTTATTTTCTTATTAATACTGCTTGACTGTATTTATCAGCAATATATATTATAAACATCTACATTGTTAATAAAGCAGACTTATTTCTTGTGATTAGTCAAGGTTATAATGCAAGAAAAGTTATTTCAGAGGTGTACGGTCACTGGGCGGTAATGTAAACACAAGACGGATGTCGAAGCCTGACATGGGATCGATCTTTCACATAATTAATCAATTAAATATTCTAATCATAGGAAACTATTATGTGATTTATCAAAATTATCAAAATTCAATGCTTTTAACCTCCTCTGATACTGAACGAACAGGCTGAAGCATCTTTTCTTGTTTACAAATTCCGGCCGAAGAGAACTGGTTTCAATATGTACGCAGAGTATACGCAACTGAAATCAACTTTCCTTGCATTACATTTTTGTGATTAGTATTCTAGACTTAAAGGAATAGACATCAGCATTAAACATGCTAAATATGTCCCGCACAAAGAGATTCTTGTTGGAATCTCGAGTGACCAAACTTAGAATCACAACGGTACTCTTTAAATCTTTATCTTATCATTATTGTGTTAGATATCGTCGTTTTTAAGATTAGACAATTTTGACCAATTTCTTGTTTCTGCAGCAGAAATGTGCAAGTCACTTTCATGAGAAATCACAATTTAAAAAATATACTTTTANCCATCTTTTTAAAGGGTTGTTAAACGGATAAAATTGCCCAATTTCTTACATTGTCTCTGCTGCATAAATTCACAAATCCCTTTTACAGACAACTGCAGCTCATTAAAAATATCAAAGTGTCACTTAAATTCACATAATTAAATTCCATTTAAATATTTGTTAAGATATGGCGGCCATGACTCTCTGTATCTTCCATAAAACTAATCTCTATATATCTAAAAAACTGAATTATCTTATAGTTCCTAACTAATTTAATTTCTCGTAAAGAACTCCCAGGATGGATCTCTTCCCTCAATATAAGCAAGGCTGGACACATCCACACCTTTTTCCAGTCGGTTGGTATCGGTTAGTTAAAATTGTTAAAAAATAAACTTTTTAAGTAGACGTTCGTTATATAGAAAAGAACAGAATATATTTCAAAGTCTTTGGCGGTAATGTTAACGATTATTTCCTGTAAAAATAGCTGGAACAATTTAAAGACAACATAAAAAAACATCCTAACATGTAAAAAAAAAATTAATTCAGACAAAAAATTTTCTGAATGATTTCTGCAATTTTAATTTGAAAAAAATAACGAAAGCCGCCGTTATTGTATAACACATCAAGTTTGTATTATTTATTAACAGCTAATTTTTTTTTATAACGACTATTTCTGTTTGTGTACGATTTCAAAATTAACGGGGTTTGCCGTTCGTTAACGAAACATTACCCAGCTCTAAATATAAGGAGAATATACATGATAAAATAAATAGATTAGTCCCGTATAGACTTGTCTGTAATAATATTATTATAGAATAATTAATCATCCTACATATTTATATTTACATTTCCGGATCAACATTTTTCAAATATTTTAAATATCTATATTTTAGGATTTAGACTATATTATGATCAACTGGCAGGTGGGCAATTCCCCCCTTAACTCTTGAAACTGATAAAATTAAAAAAATGTGTGTTTCCCAATAAAATAGTTTCATTTCCATATTCTGTCTAAAAACTAGTGCTGGGCAAATTAGTACGTTTTTTTCAGAAATATTCTTTAATTGTGAAAACAAATGAAAGGTCCTGATTTCCAAAAAATACATATTTATTAATTATTAATTATTAAAATTGTCTGTTTTAATAAATGTTTTTTGCTTGTTTTTAACTAGCATTCCTTCCGCCGCGCTGATAACAATTTCCCTCTGGTGGCCAGAGGAGAGGACCTGATATGCTGCTGAAAACTTGAATCTCTCTAATAACTTAACAGTTTTCTTTCATTTATTAACAGATATTTCATTCATTAACAGATTTTTCATTCATTAACAGATATTTCATTCATTAACAGGTATTTCATTAATTAACAAATATTTCATTCATGAGCAGATTATTTGTTTATTAAAAGATTATTCGTACGTTAACAGATCTTTCATTTGATAACAGATATTTCATTCATGAACAGATACTTCATTCATTAACAGATCTTTCGTTTATTAACAGATTATTCGTTCATTAACAGATCTTTCGTTTATTAACAGATAATTCGTTCATTAACAGATCTTTCGTTTATTAACAGATTATTCATTCGTTAACAGATCTTTCATTCATTAACAGATCTTTCGTTAATTAACAGATTATTCGTTCATTAACAGATCTTTCCTTCATTAACAGATATTTCCTTCTTTAACAGATACTTCATTCATTAACAGATATTTCATTCATTAACAGATATTTCATTAATTAACAGATATTTAATTCATGAGCAGATTATTTGTTTATTAAAAGATTATTCGTTCGTTAACAGATCTTTCATTTGATAACAGATATTTCATTCATTAACAGATCTTTCGTTTATTAACAGATTATTTGTTCGTTAACAGATCTTTCATTCGTTAACAGATTTGTGGTTTATTAACAGATTATTCGTTCATTAACAGATCTTTCGTTTATCAACAGATTATTCGTTCGTTAACAGATCTTTCATTCTTTAACAGATCTTTCATTCAATAACAGATATTTCATTCATTAACAGGTTTGTCGTTTATTAACAGATACTTCATTTATTAACAGATATTTCATTCGTTAACAGATATTTCATTCATTAACAGATCTTTCGTTTATTAACAGATTATTCGTTCGTTAACAGATCTTTCATTTGATAACAGATACTTCATTCATTAACAGATCTTTCGTGTATTAACAGATTATTCGTTCATTAACAGATCTTTCGTTTATTAACAGATATTTCATTCATTAACAGATCTTTTATTCATTAACAGATCTTTCATTCGTTAACAGATCTTTCATTCATTAACAGATATTTCATTCATGAACAGATTTTTTGTTAATTAACAGATTATTCGTTGGTTAACAGATCTTTTGTTAGTTAACAGATATTTCATTCATTGACAGATATTTCATTCATTAACAGATATTTCATTAATTAACAGATATTTCATTCATGAGCAGATATTTCATTCATGAGCAGATATTTCATTCATGAGCAGATTTTTTGTTTATTAAAAGATTATTCGTTCGTTAACAGATCTTTCATTCGTTAACAGATCTTTCATATGTTAATAGATATTTCATTCGTTTACAGATATTTCATTTATGAATAGATTTTTCGTTTATTAACAGATATTTCATTCATTGACAGGTATTTCATTCGTGAACAGATTTTTCGGTCAATAACAGATTATTCGTTCGTTAACAGATCTTTCGTTTAATAACAGATTATTCGTAAGTTAACAGATCTTTTGTTAGTAAACAAATCTTTCATTGGTTGACAGATCTTTGTCCAGCCTTAATAAAAACTTCTATTGGAACATTTGTTTTAATCACTAAGAACCTTAAATCACCTGTTCATGGAATTTTGAGCAGTAATTCTGTTGCGTGGAATGCTGAGTTGGTTTTTGTTGTATTGAGATGGAGTGTTAATTGTGAGTTGAGAGGAATGGAACCCAACCGGACTGTAAATAGATGGAGTGTTGATTGTTAGTTGTGATGAATGGAACCCAACTGGACTGTAAAGGCTTTCAGTTTTCTTCCGGTGAGACGCTGCTGGGACTATTTTATTCCGCCTAATCAAACATTAAGGTAATACATTCTTGTCATTTCCATACAACACACATTATCAGAGGGAAAAGGAATCTTGGGGTGGGGAGGGGGGGGGGAGGTAAAGTATTAATTCAGTTTTAATTTTAGAATTTCAATTCTAAGATTTTACTCTACGAATTAATTTAATTGTCTTGTGGATATTTCTGGTTTAACAGTCGTCATCGTATATATCAATACAGTAAAGACAACTTTTGATTTAAATTTGTGATTTCTATCAAGCTTTCGAACCGCATGGATACACATAAATATGGAAACAAAGATAAGCTGTCAATTAACATATAAAATCTAGAATTATTTACCCGACATCTTCGCCGTCAGGACATAAGGTCGGTTAACATGTTTCCTGGGATTGTAAACTTGTAACTTAAAAAGCTTGTTAGATATCAAAACTTAAATAGAAAAGTAGTCTTCATTGTATTGATATAAACGCCAACCACGGCGAACAAATTCTTCCCCCTGCTACAAAATACCCTGGTAGTGCCCTTGCAAAACTGCAGTATTAGAATTAATGTAATATCTTAATGTATCATGTGAAAATATTCAGAAACACATTCTTATTCTGTCTGTTTGTAGATATACTTAATTCTTTGGACACAGACAAGGAAGACAAACTTATTGAGTGTTCAAAGAATATGTTCTTCAATACTTTTACCTAATTTTAGTTAGTTAATAAATAAAATTCAGTGTTACACTAGTGGTAATTATAATATCTTGTTGAAATGGACAATTAGAAGTGACCCTTCAAACAAAATATTGACGCTAATTGATAAACATTATCTGAGTAATAATTAGGCACATTTCTCTTAAAACTGCAAAGAAAAAATTTACAATAGTTTTCATCGTAAAAAAGGATCTGTAAGGTATAATTAGAAAATTAATTCAACTTTTAGTCTGAAAAACAAGAAATTCTCCATCATTTTTTCTCAGATCAAGATTTATGGATGCTATTTCAAATCATTTTATCTTTATTAAAAAAGGTTCGGTCAAAATTATGTCGACAGGTTGTATTATGTGTTCGAAAATTGTTCAAAAGAATTGAGTCTTTGTCACAAACTATGATTTTCTAATCTCTATATCTTTGTAATCAAATGCCGTAGACCTTAGATATTTCAAACTATGAATTCTGTTAGATGAAAAAATTCAAGTTTGAAATATCAAAGGTTTACACCATCAGGTGGAAAAAATACAGGTATTAGAAAATCAGAGTTTGTTACAAAGACATAATTCCTTTGTAAATTTTAAACATTTCCCGTCCATCTTATCCAAAGAGAATATATTATACATAGATTATCAGATTTAGAATTATTGTTAAGCCATAGAATTCGAAGTTTCAAATTTACCCAATTTAAACTTTTCTAAACTCTTCTAAATCCTTCAACTATTCTTACTTGGAAACAAACATATTGTAGGTTGGAACAATTCCACTTTTAGTAAATAGACGGCTTATTTTAATCATTGATTGCATCAGAACAAACATATTGTAGGTTGGAACAATCTACTTTTAGTAAATAGACGACTTACTTTAATCATTGATTGCATCAGAACAAACATATTGTAGGTTGGAACAATTCCACTTTTAGTAAATAGACGATTTACTTTAATCATTGATTGCATCAGAACAAACATATTGTAGGTTGGAACAATTCCACTTTTAGTAAATAGACGACTTACTTTAATCATTGATTGCATCAGAACAAAAATATTGTAGGTTGGAACAATCTACTTTTAGTAAATGGACGACTTACTTTAATCATTGATTGCATCAGAACAAAAATCAATATTTACAAACGTCCGTTTTAAAAATTTTAAACCTACGCTGAAATAGAAAGAATCTTTCCTGAAATAAAAAGTTTTTATAATATAAAAACTTTAGACCTGTAGATATATTTTCAAGATTACCAAGAGCATGATGCATGGAAGAGAGAAGATAAGAAGAATAATTATGAGTTTTAATGTAAAATAAGGGAGGTCGATTAAAAAAAGTTTTTAGCACAGATCGTTTCAACTGACACATAAAATCTGAAACCAATCTTAGTAATCTGAAATTAAGTTCATTATCTTAAAGACTTTGAAATTAAATTGCTGCCAAAGTTTTAAAAATTTAACTTTTAAGGTGAAAAGATGTCACTGATATGAACTGAAAATTTCAAACTGTGTAATGTAAGTTTGATACATTTGCTGAATGTTTTATTTACAATTTGGATTGAATACCTAAACTTGAATTCTTGTTTAACTGCTTCAGAACATTCTCAGAAACATTTACTGTGTGTTTGTGATGCATGTAAACAAAGACAATTATTTTAAAAATCTCGATAGAAACTTTAATTTTACCTTGGGCTACCTTGCAGGGACATCTTGTTCAAACTTTTTTGTTTTCTAAATATTGAACAGTTCTTGCTAACAGGGTTCTCCTCTACCTCCTCACCACTATTTGAAATTTGATAAAATCTTACAGGGTGGCCAAGAAAAAATGAAGATATTGGCCAAAAGTCTAAATTTTTGAATGAAGTGGAGGTAACATGCCACTTTAAATTGGAGAGTTAAATGCCTGATCCTTTAATGAACTCTATACCTCCAGGGTACAGCAATCACAGAATATCGAAGAGGAATTCAATAGATCCGTCTGTACAAGATGGAAAACAATGCTTGATCACTAGGTTTGATTTCTTTTAAATAAATTTAAACTTTAACAATAACCTTTTTCTGTTTACAAAACAAATTAGAATATGATATTCCTATGAAAATTTTAAGTTAATCTCAAAAAAGGAGTTAAGTTTTTGTCACAAATTAAATTTTATAAATCCCAGCTTTTTGCAACCTTATGGTGTAAACAGTGTAAACCTTAGATATTTCAAACTTTGATCCAATAGAATTTATAGTTCGAAATATCTACATATGGTCAACATTGGGTCACAAGGATACAGGGATTAAAAAATTAGAAATCCAATTTGTGGAACAGAAACTGTGATATTGTAATAACAAAATAAAATGACAGAAATGGCTTGAAAAGATATTAGCATGAATAATTAGTGGATATTCTTGGTATTTGTTCAGGTCTAGGGTTTCCAACCAAATTTTCGCAAATTTTGATGTATTTTCGATAAAATTTTCGATTAAAATAGATTTTTAAAATTTTTTATCAAAAAAATTATGCAAAAAGTGAATGAAAAAATGTTCATTTTCGTTTCATATTTTGTTGGCTGAACGAAAATTTGGAAACCCTATTTTTTGGAGCTACAGTGCTTCTCTGGATTTTTATTAAACTACTATAAACCCTTTTTAAAAAACCTTTCGTTTGTTTTGAATTTTTCTTGTTCAGAAATCTGGTCTATGAACTTTTTGATTTAAAGGAAATTTGATCTAAGAGTAATCAGATCTAATGAGAATTTAATAAAAAAAAGTGGAAATGATCTAATATATTTTTTTAAGATCTATCTCCACGTTTATATGTAGAATTGGATCTAAATTATGTAGAATCTGATCTAAAATATTTGTTTTGAAGAATTAAATTTTAGATTACATTTTTTCCTCAAAGTATGGAATTTGATCTGAAAAGTGTATACTTTGATCTAAAGAGTTTATAATCTGATCTAAAATTTTATAATTTGAGTATATTGCTTTAACAGTTAAGAAAACGTGGAAGGTTCAGACTTTAAAGGAAGTGTTCGCAAAAAATGAAAGGGGGTATAGGCTTAATGCGATAAAAAAGCGCTTTTGATCGCTACTAATCTTACTTCTATCTGTTGCGTCTATAAGGAGAAAATTGTTAAAGACGTCTCATACCGAAGAGCGTAGCGCCCATACAAATTGAGGAAGTTGGAACATACGACTTAGACCGTAAAAAAATCAAATTAATATCAAACAAATCATTCAGATATTACAACCTATAGTCATCGATTATCTTTCGCCACATTTGTATATATTTAATATTTCATACTAGTTTTGATTTTGTTTTTTAAAATAATATTTAGCTTACAACTTGTTTTCGAACATTCCTGGAAAATATGAAAATGTCGTCTTCATTACCAAAAATCCTCGAAACAGGAATAAACGTTTGTATAAGTAACTCTCAGATCATAACAATTAAAACATATTATGAAAAATAAACTATATACAAATGTGGCGAAAGATAATCGATGACTATAGGTTGTAATATCTGAATGATTTGTTTGATATTAATTTGATTTTTTTACGGTCTAAGTCGTATGTTCCAACTTCCTCAATTTGTATGGGCGCTACGCTCTTCGGTATGAGACGTCTTTAACAATTTTCTCCTTATAGACGCAACAGATAGAAGTAAGATTAGTGGCGATCAAAAGCGCTTTTTTATCGCATTAAGCCTATACCCCCTTTCATTTTTCGCGAACACTCCCTTTTTAACGGTGATGAGTAGGGTTAATTGTAGAGCTAGAATTAGATCTAATTCTACATTTTTTAGATCTAATTCTACATTTTTTAGATCTAATTCTACATTTTTAAAATCTAATTCTACATTTTTAAAATCTAATTCTACATTTTTCTTTTTAAAGATAGATTTCCTATGCACAGAATTTTTGAATTTGAAAAACAATTTTTAAATTGAAAAAAATATGAAAAATAATATGAAAAATGTGGAACTAACTTCTCCTTTTTTACTCTACAGAGGTTTGGTCCATCACCATCACCTACTTTTAAAGGGGGGAAGGGGTTTATATATAAGTGTGATATAGAAAAGTTTTTTGTATCAATTTTCCTTGTGAACATCCAAGCCATTTTCTGCCGTAGATTCTCTCCTTTGATGTTTTTTCTATCCATCCACTTCTTTCCCTCTTCCCTAATTTTGAATTTACTCCCCTCCCTCTCTTCCCTTATTTTGTATTTACTGCCCTCCCCCTCTTCCCTTATTCTGTATTTACTCCCATCTCCCTCTTCCCTTATTTTGTATTTACTGCCCTCCTCCTCTTCCCTTATTTTGTATTTACTCCCCTCCAGCTCCTCACACTCTTCCTTTGTTTTGTATTTACTCCCCTCTATAGCCTGGTCTCTATGTTCATCTTCTTCCCTCTCCCCCTCATCTTCTTTAAAAAGGGAGCTCCTATAAAATCTTGTGTAAATAGGAGATCAAAGAAACTATATAAATCTCCCTAGAAGGGACTAATTCATTTGGAGTACCATGTCCAGGTTTTTCTTTAAAAGCCCTTAAACGTACTGTACTGCACTATAGGTTAAATGGCTTGTATTTTAGAAAAACTGTTAAAACCCAGAAGGTCTTTTTCTCTCAAGTGAGAACAAAAAATGGCCGAGGAGAAAAAGACTGATGGGCACAAAAATATGGCAACTGAACATTAAAAATACTGTAGGGCACGGGCAACTGCACAAATTGAAGACTAATGGGCATATGCAACGGCACAAGTTAAAGATTGAAGAACACAGGCACTGCACAAACAATTATGACTGAAGAACACAGACAACTGCACAAACAGAAGACTGAAGAACACAGACAACTGCACAAACAGAAGACTGAAGAACACAGACAACTGTACAAACAGAAGACTGAAGAACACAGACAACTGAACAAACAGAAGACTGAAGAACACAGGCAACTGTACAAACAGAAGACTGAAGAACACAGACAAATGTACAAACAGAAGACTGAAGAACACAGACAACTGTACAAACAGAAGACTGAAGAACACAGACAACTGTACAAACAGAAGACTGAAGAACACAGACAACTGTACAAACAGAAGACTGAAGAACACAGACAAATGTACAAACAGAAACTGAAGAACACAGACAACTGTACAAACAGAAGACTGAAGAACACAGACAACTGTACAAACAGAAGACTGAAGAACACAGACAACTGTACAAACAAAAGACTGAAGAACACAGGCAATTGCACAAACAGTAGACTGATGAACACAGACAACTGCACAAACAGAAGAATGAAGAACACAGGCAACTGCACAAACTGAAGACTGATAGGCACGGGCAACTGCCAAACAGAAGAATATTCGGCACAGGAAACTGCACAAACAACAGAAAAACATTTGGCACGGGCAATTGCACACACAAAAGACTGATGGGCAGGGGAAACTACACAAATAGAAGAATATTTGGCACGGGCCATTGCACAAACAGAAGACTGATGAGCACGGGCATGGGCACTGTCAACTACACAAACAACAGAAAAACATTTGGCACGGGCAACTGCACAAACAAAAGACTGATGGGCATGGGTAACTACACAAACAAACGAAATATTTGGCACGGGCAACTGCACAAACAAAAGACTGATGGGCATGGGTAACTACACAAACAGAAGAATATTCGCACAAGTAATCCCGGGTGCTTCTACTAGTTCTTGATATGAATAAAAGAAATAATGGATAGCTGTTAATTATCTCGAAATCTCATAAGAACTGCTTTATCATTGTTAATGATCTTAATAACCAAAAATATCATTATCGCTAATATAGTTTCTTTTTTATTTATAGGGTTGGCATCAATTGGAAGCTAGTTACATCAAGAAAGAGAATATTATTATCTAAAACATAATATACATTTTTTTTAGATATATTATACCTGTATACCAGCAAACATATCCCTACACATCAAAATTTGATTTTTACAAATAAGCTTCCTCCAAGAAAATTAAACATTGCATTACATGAATAATGAAATCCCCAATCTATCTAAAGTAAAAAATTATGCGGCCCCATTTTTCGAATCTTGAAAATAAAATAAAAAAAAAATTCAGAAACCCCATGGCATGGTTTTTTTATAGTGGACATTTTTTAACAATATTTTAATGTAATAAAATTTTGTTCCTGTGAAAGAAAGAAAAAGAGGCAAGGGAAGCGCCAGGATTATAGAAAACCACTCAACCTGAAATTATTAAGTGAGACACCAATAAAATAAGATACAGTCTAATGTCCATTTTATGTTATTATAAAGCAAATAATAAAATAATTTTTTTTGTTCTTTAACCCAGCACACTATCAACACACATTTTCAGCAGAAGACTTACTTTTACTCAAACTCACTCAAAGACTTACTCTACGGTTAAAAGAAAACATATTCATCTAAGGTATGAATTTAGCGGTTGAACCAATTTTAAATTAGAAAAATAGAAAAGTAGTTTTTCTTATTCTAAATTGTAGAATTGTAGAATTTTGGCTAGATCTCAACTGCGTGTTCAGCCGCTACTGCTGTTTTTTTATATTATGATTATGTCTATGAATAAAAATGATAAAAAATACTTGACCTTTGATTCAAGGTTTCTTGAGAGATCACATGATTCTGTTCTAGCAGCAACTGTCAAATCTTTAGGAAGATCAAATTCTTCCCTATGACATTGAATTTGATAATAATTAGAATTAGATTTCATTTCAGTTACTTTTGTAAAGTAATGCTTAAGATCGGAATTTAACTCATAAAAAGGAGTGTTCGCAAAAAAAATAAAAAGGGTAAAATCAAAGGCATAACCTGAATTAAATTTTAGATCGAACAGACATTTTTTTTTACTTCTTATGTTTGAGATTTGAGAAAAAAAAACGCTAGTCGCTAATCCCCAATTTGGTATATCGTTGTTGAAGGATTATTCATGCAATAAATTTGGAACTGATCCTTTACTTTTGTCAATAAAAATAACACTTCGTTAACAAAAGTAGGTCCGAGGTCAGAAAAAAATTGAATTGAATTGAAGACAACATTCATAAACTTATCATCCTGAAAAATGTTTAAATTAATTGATTAAAACTAACTCAGATTCATTAAGAAAATTTTCTTTTTAAAAAACTATCTTTTTTAAATTCTAAGAAAATTTTCTTTTTAAAAAACAATCTTTTTTAAATTCATCATTTTCAAGAACTATTGTTTTTTGTTTTTAAAAGTTTTTAAAAAGTAATTCGTTTTCAAAAAAGATCGTTTTTTCTAAAAACTGATAGTTTTTAGAAAAAAAACAAACAATAGAATTCAATGAGAAAATTATAGTTTGTGACGAGTATTCATTTCCTTTAGAATCATTTCTCCTTCGTAACAGAAAAATCCTTAATATTATTCTCTTTAGTGCAAAATTGTGTGAATAATAAAAATAAAAATAAAATAATTTTAGTTTTCTATTTATTTTGTTTATAGAATAGAAAATGTGCTGAATCAACCAAGAAAGTAAATGGAAAAAGTGCACAGTTAGGATATTGAGATTTGACCAAAATAATGAAATGTGCAATTTAAACTTCAACTCTCCATATATTAATTCATTTACTGTCCGGCCCAGTTTACCTTATCATATCGTACTACTTTCTATGGCTGGGTAAAAGACGACCTGGTACTTGAAATGAGCCGGAATTTACAGTGATATTTACAGGCTATTATGTATTCAGTTTTTAAAAAATCTAAGTTGGTACCAAATAGGAGACTATGGTTTACAGCGAACGAAACATTTCGCGAAAAAATGCGAAAATTTCTGTTTGCATTTTTCGCGAGCAAACAAAATGTGAAAAATGCAAACTTTTCTTGAAGCGATTTTTCCTTTTCGCTACAAACCCTAGGCTGGACAAAGGGTCTGACCCAGATGGCATAAAAAAAATTTTCTTTGTTTACCTTTTATCGTCTAGAACTTGTTCTGAAGAGAGACCCGAAAGAAAAGATAAAGACCAAATACAGGTCAGAATCACCTTAAGAAAATGTAAAAATAAATTAAACTTTTTTTTCAAGATTGGAATAGCACTCTTTGTACTTGTATTATAAATTCATAAATTTTTTTCTTCAAAGAAAACTTGACGCGACAATGAATTATCGATACGATAAAACCCTATTACAATTATTTCAAGAAATGCCGTCGTTTTAATTTAAAAAAAAATAAAACATGCTCTTTGCAGTGTACTGGGTGTCCCACGAAACATGACACTTAGTGAATAGTTTTAAATGTCTTCTTCCATGTATTATTTTAGATATTACACACTTTTTGCAGTTTATTTCGTTAATAAAATCTTTTACTTTGAAATTAATTTTACTATAATATCGAAAAATTTAACAAATTATAGAAGATGACGTTCACAACTTTTCACCAACTGTTATTTTTCGTGGGACACCCTGTTGGTCCTAGAAGTTACACAGTATCACCGTTCACCGTTTAGTCCACACACAATAATGCTATTGTTTTTTTAATTACTTTCAATTTTATTTTGAATTTTTAAACATTTTTTCTTTTCATTTTGTGTAAAATCTAAGAGTATCTATATACTTTTGTTCCCCCAGTATTATTCTGTAGAAATGTTTTTAAACTTCTCATGCGAAATAACTTTCATTTTCATTACTTAGCATATTTTTGCATAACTATAGCTCGAGCTGAATGCATGTTATTCTAGTCAATTTGATTCTAAATCTGTGAAACTTAAATTTTCTCATTTCAACTTTTGATAAAGTTTTTATAAAACAGGCCCCTGGTATCTCCAATTCAAATACTGAGATAAACAAATAATACTGAGTTGAATCACATTTGACCGTCAGCGAAATATTCAGCTAAACCTAAAACGGTTTCTGCAGCCTGCCAGTTTTTCTAACTTTAAGTGACCCTTCATTTCAAGAGAGTCTATACCCGAGTAACGTTGGTCCGTACTCTTTAAACCGTAATATGATCAATAATGTTGAAGAGAATGTCGTTCTTCTTGTTTTACAAATATTTGATTTATTTATCTCTCTACTGAGTTTCACTTTTGTAGTGAAACCACAATTACAATTAGTTTAAAAACATGTATAACTAATTCATACATAAACAGACAAAGCTGTTAAGGTTCCGGTTCAGACATGCCACTATATTAATGAAGGGTCTCTTTAAATTATGTTTTCAGTCCCTTTAAGACATATTACAATTAACCATTCATAATTGTAACTTAACATTTTGTATCGATTTACCTATTAAGCCATTTAGCCATTTAGCCATTTACCTATGGACATATTTACCTATTTACCTATTTACCCATTTACATATTAACCTATTTACCCATTTACCTATTTACCTATTTACTCATTTACCCATTTACCCATTTACCTGTTTACTTATTTACCTATTTACTCAATTACCCATTTACCTATTTATCTATTTACCCCTTTACCCATTTACCTATTTATTCATTTACCCATTTACCCATTTACCCATTTACCTATTTACCTATTAACCTATTTACCTATTTACCTATTTACCCACCTTATGTCTTGTTTTCATACTGTCGCAGGAATCAGAACTTTCAATCTCTTAAATAATCCACCTTTTTATCATTTTCTCAATTAGCACGTAACCTTATTTTTATTATTTCAATCATATTTTATTGTAAGAACTTTAAATAACGTAAATTGATAGATTTTTTTTACATTATGGACCAAGTTAGTTACAAATATAATACAGGGTTCCTCACAAAGGATACTACTTTAGAGACGACTGTACGGAATTTATACTGTCTGTGTTCACAATTCTATGCAACATTTAACTTGTTTCTTTCTTTGTTAGATCATTATTTGACCAATGACAAATAAAAGTCTATTTTTAAGACAGAAAATGTGGTCGTCATTTTACAGTACGTCTTTACAATCTTTCTAGTTAACTATGAAAGTTATTTTTCAAATTTGAAATTTTGTGACAGCCTCGACTTTAAAGCGTTGCAATGGCTTGGACTTTGGTTTTACCTCAATAAGTCACTTATACTTTGTGTGGACCTAAGCATACTTATTCTAAAACTGCTTGTAAGCTTAAAATGAGTAATTGGCAAAATACTGCTAAAATTTTTTGTGAGAGCGTTTACGTCTTGGTTTTCAGTTTGTCAGTAACCCCTGTATTCAATTACATGTAATCGTCATATTTCAAGAGTTTCAGGTCGTCTTTACAGTCTTATCCTTTCTTGAGTACTTAATTATTAGCCTTTATATATGTCTTGATCAAAGCTGATTATTTTCCTGCGTCTAAAGAGGGTGTATTAACTGTAGGGACGGGGGTCCGTTGACACAGGGTATGAAGAATAGGCGTGGCAGGTGGAAGGGTGTGCGTGGCAGGGGTGGGGGCAAACAGGGTAGGAGTAGGAGTAGGGGGGATAGGGGTTGTGTTTGGAGAGAATATAATTGAGATTGAACCTCCAGATCCACTTCCGCTCGTATCTTCTTCTTTTACAGAAACTGGTCGTTCACTGGAAAATAATAGCAAGCATTTAAAGGAACTGTTCCCGTAATTTCAGCTGGCATTCCATTCAATCCTTTGTCGGAGCAGAAGTTATATAAAGATAACCTTGTTTTTTAATTCGACAATTTTCTTCACAAATCAGACTAGCAAATTTTTATATATCAACGACAAAGAACGTAACAACAGAATTCAACACTTTGTTCATTTTGTTTTACTTTATTGCGATTGCGGCGTATAATTTGCAGCTATTTTAAACCCTCTAAAAAACTTACTATTAAAATTATAGTTCTAATATTTCTACAATTGGTCGGAATTTTTATGCATCAAAATCCATGTGTATCTCAACTTGAACGGCAAAATCCTGAAGGGTTGGGAAGTCTCTATAAAAACATAGCGATTGATACAATGCAAAGTCTTAATTCTGAATCGATTTTCGTTGTTTTGGACACTGCAATTTATAAAATTTTCAATAAAAATGATACTAAAATTATGGGTTTCCTCAAAACAGTAGATTCTCTTGCCGCAACAGTTTCGTGTTAATGTACGAAATGAATTTCGTGTCAATAAGAAACCAGTTGTGCACAAAATTGCGCATTTATTCGAAAAAATCATCGTTCTGCACAAAAATATGCTTGAATGAAGAATCTTTTTACAAAATCTTGCGCATTAATACAAGGTCATAGTTTTTGCACACAATGATAACAAAAAATTGGACTTTTTGTACATGTGGTGGATGAATACGAAAACAGGGAAAAGATGTTGTTACGCGAGCCATGCTGCGTGTAGAAAGTCTGCTTGTCACCCCTGGGTATTTCTGAGTTCTCCCTGAAGATCTGTACGGAATGTATGGTGAAAGAACTAGTTTAGGAGCTGTTTACAGTCCGACTGCGCAGACGCAAGATTTCTTGCGGAATAGTAACTAATTTATGTCAGTATATGTTTATTCGTTTTGCAAGTATTAGCCGTGTTCAGAATTCTGGGATCACTGTGGTAACTATTTTTATATATATTTATGCTTGTCGGTTTGATTATAATATGATTGATATTTGTATATGTGTTTATTGGTTCCTAGCCACAGTTTTTGAATGCCTGAGTGAATTATTTATTGTAGTTGTATGATTTGTCACTCAAAGCTTTTTCTGTGGGTTTATTAAACTTATTTAGATTGAAGGCTCAGAGAAATAAACGTTCGGAACCTTACTATCATCCTTTTTATTATGAAGAGCGTTGAGAGAAGGGAGTCTTACGATCCGGTCCTGAGAAATACCACACGGTATATATATTAGGTCTTTAGGGAAATCGCTAAGTAGCGAAACAGATGTGAATTAGTTTTGAACTTAAAAAAAACAATTTTTTATAGCTGCAGTATTTTGTTTATGAACATTAATCAAATTATTATCATATTCATAGTTTAGACACTGTTAAAATTTGTGTAGCTTTCATTAATTAAATTTGTCATGATAAATATGTTTTTATTAAACACTAAAAAGTTGCCACTGGAGGCGCGTCTCAGTTTTACTAATGACATCTTTGTATTAATCTATAAATATGTATTACATTTCTCTTGTTTGGGTGTCTGCTTGTTTGTAACCTATCTCCTTCGGCTGGGCCAAACTGTCGTAAAGAAACTGAGTTTTTGCCACAAACTTAAATATTCTAATTCCTATATCTCTGCATCCGGATGGTTTAAGCCTTAGATTATTTGACCTAACAGAATTCTTAGTTTGAAATGTCATGAGGTTTACGGCATTGGGTTGAAAAGAAATAGGGATTGGAAAAACTGAGTTTGTGGCAAAAACTCAATTCCTTTGTATGCAAGACACCCTGAGTGATTAATTCATTTATTTCCTGAAATTTACCGAAATAGCTCGAAATAACGAAATAGCTCGAAATAACGAAATATGCAAAAACCAAGATTTTCTTCAGAATTTACACAAATAGCTAGTGCGCATCAATGTGAAATTTACTCGAAACATATAAAAATCGTTGCGCAGTTATTGCTCGATTTTCGTTCAAAAATTTTTATTTGGAAACCCTAACTAAAACCTTGCTTCACGTTTGCATTAAATTTTATGCATATTTAAAGGTTTTTTTTTACGTTTTCAATTTTTGTAGTTCATTTTGTTTGTGTAGGACTTAAAAGCGTTTTATACATTCTTATGGAAACTGCATAGAAATAAAGACAAGATTAAAACCTTTTTCCTTTCTAAATATTTTATTTTTGTTTGCATTTACTTTGTATTATAAAGTTTGTATTTAATTATATTTATAATTTTAAACATACAATTTTAAAATTGTTTATCTAATCGGATTTTAAGAGAAGCCTCTAGAAAAGGTGGCCGACAAACTGACCTTAAAGTTAACCATACAAGAAAGCAGATGCTCCAGGCGGATACAGATATGCAGGTCCGACCCCCAACCACCAGACTAGTGCAGAACTCAAGTTTTAAACTAAAATATATTTAAAATATTCTTTGCTGTTTAGTTAGAAATATATAATTTATTTTGTCACCCTTGCGGCATGAAGGTGTGATTTATGAGCTCTATAGAAAAGGCCTCTTAGTCAAGATATCAAATGCCTAATATGTTCATTGTCCAATTTTCAAAACTTTTACAATTTAGGTGTTATTTAAAAATAGCTAGTAAATATTTGTTTATCCATTTTGGACAAATACTAGTTTTTCATTTTTATAAAAAGATATTTCTGGTCGATATTTGAATTCGTAGAGCAGGGAACTAGAGATTAGAAAAATAGAGTTTATGTCAAAGACTCAATTCCTTTTTATAAAACCGGTATTTAAGAAACACTTTTAGGAAAACTGTAAGTTGTGACTATGAGGAGGCTCAGTTGTAACTTATAACCCGGTTTAATCTGTGTTTCCAATATTAGAATTATATTTACTTACCTGGTAGTATTTTTAGCTACCCCCATCCCAATATATACAACTTCTGCTTAACAAAAACAAACAATTACAAATACAATTTAAAAAAGTGAGATTACATATATTAAGTTATATTCAACTAAATCTTTTGATCAGTTGTTTATATTATGATTAATTGAGTTTTTTAATCCTTTATATCGAATTATCAATTGTATGTTATGATTAGTTGTGTCTTATGATTAATCTTATATTATGATCAATAATATCTTATGATCAATAGTACCTTTTGATCGTATTGTATTATCAACTGTTTATTATGATTAATTGATCAATTGTACTTTTTGATCAATTGTATCTTTTGATAAGTTGTATATTTTGATCAATTGTATCTTTGGATCAATTGTATCTTTGGATCGATTGTATCTTTTGATCAATTGTATCTTTTGATCAATTGTATCTTTTGATCTTTTTTATCTTATGATCAATTGTATTTTATGATAAATGTATATTTTGATTAATTGTATCTTTGGATCAATTGTATCTTTTGATCAATTGTATCTTTTGATCTTTTCTATCGAATGATCAATTGTATTTTATGATAAATGTATATTTTGATTAATTGTATCTTTGGATCATTTGTATCTTTTGATCAATGTTTTTTTTTGACATTTTGTTGATAATTTTTTAATTGATTAAAAGGGATTCTAATTTGCAAAAGTAGAAAACAATGAATTTGTTTGTTTCCTATGCTTCGAACTAGAACAGACTGAACCAGATTGTTTAAACTCGTAGTTAGAATTGTAAACGTTGGAAGGTGGGAGAACAAAACCTGAAAATAAAATAAATACAAGTCAAAACTTTTGAATTCTAAATCTGTTGATAACGAACTTAATGGGTTCCCTTCCAACTAGTGATTTGATAAAAGTCGTTCGATACATCCACCTCTTTGAATTATAATTTGGTGGATTTTGCGTTCGATACCGAAGTTAAACTTATCAATTTAAAAGTTCATATTGTGGATATCGAGATAAGCACTAACTTATATAAAAGTTACATCATTAGAGAATAAAATAAATATACAGCTTGCCGGCAAAATACATGAAAAATAATACTATTATCATAAGCTAAACTTGCCTTGTTGTCTCTCAAGCAAATGATGACGGAAAGATTTAGAAGTATTGATAAAACTGTTAGGAGCATGTCACATAGGACTAAAGCACCACTTAGCTCCTTAAATATAGAAAATATCATTGAGAGTATAGGAGCATATACAGGGTTACCCACAAAGAATGGGACTGGGATTAAAGTCTTGAAATATAACGCTTTCAAATTTAGACTTTTTAATTCAAGTCTGTTAATTTCATATTTAATAATTTTTCATAGAAAGAAACAATTTTCGAATTTTACAAAATTAATTTTTTATTTCAACAAAAGCAGGAAACATTGTAATTTCTAAAATAATTGATTTTTAAACACGCTTAAACTTGAGCTGTACTGATTCTAATTTTAAGTTTTAATTAGTTAGAATATTTATGTTACAAAATTTATTTTTAAAATTACTGTTTTTCAATAAATTTAAAACTAAATACCTTGGTCTCCATTTTCATGTGTAAACAGAGTTTTTCTTGATTACAGATTTAACTCTGAAATAATCAGGTTTGGAACTTTTCTATTTTTAGTCCAATCAATTAAAAGTAAAACAAAATCATTTTTGGACCTATCCCTGTTGCTTTTTTTGGGGGTGGGGGGTGGGGGTATTTGGATAAATAGGACCCCCATCCCCCACCACATGTTTTTGCACACAACTCGAAAATCATTTATCTGAGGCGATATGCAAATTGCTTTGGCATTTTATACCAGCTGCCTGAGTCGTCAGGCATATGTAATCAAATTCCAGAATGCCTTAATTAAGAGACGACTTGAAAATCGTCATCGATTTCCGGTTTGATAAATGAAAAAGACTTTTGAAAATGTGGTCTAACTTCTTTGCATCTTAAAATTGACAAAAAATTGGATTTTTGCAAACTTGCAGATGATTAAAAATATAATAGATATGACATTATAATTGTATTATAATCAGAATAGATGGCATATTTTGGGCAGCAGCTTGGCCTGTATATGAATGGAATAATGAGGCAAGCTCAAATCAAAGATAATTGAAGATATTACGGGGAGAGGAAATTGCTAATTATTTTTCGGGAGGGGGGGGGGAAGAAGAGGCTCCAAAAAAAACTTATTGAGAGCATAATATATGTTCGATTTACACATTAATATGTATATTCGCATTATTACCATGCATCTTATAGGTCGCAAGTAAACATACAAACAGAGTTTCCCACGAAACATGACAGTTGTTGAATAGTTTTGAATGTCTTCTTCCATATATTGAATATTAAAGACTTTTTGCATGTCATTTCGTTCAAAACATCTTTTCTCAAATATATTTTACTTTGAAATCAATTTTACAATAATATAGTTGGTATCCAATATACTTAATCATTCTCTTTAATATCAAACAACTTAACTAATTATGGAAGAAGACATTTTAAACTATTCACCTACTGTCATGATTCGTGGGACACCCTGTAGTAGAGAATATAAATCTAATATATACTATACCAGCATGAGTACTCATCGTTGCCCAGGGTACTCATAGTTACTCCCACCGTTTACCCGCGCTTGGTCGTAAATTACGATTTTAGATATTTTCCCTATAAAAGTTGAGTGGACACACTCAACTTAGAATCTCAAAACCATATTAAGAACATTCCCGTGGTTCTCCCGAGTTCCCCATCAAAATTTAAGACAAATCGGTCAAGGGGTTCCTGAGTTATGATCGGACATCCAAACAAACAATCAGAGATTACAATTTTAGATATAAAAATGGGTACTCATTGGAGCTGGGACTGGAGTTTTCGTTTTCAATGATAAGATAATGATTTAAAGGTTGCTCATAAATTATCTTCTTCATGATTACTTTGCTAAGGTGTACCCATGCTTAAATATAATATTGGGTAATTTACTTCAAAGTCATCTATATATATATATAAAGTTGTAATATCTGATGATTGTCTGTCTGTCATGGTGTCTGTTTGTTTGTCCGATACAACTCTAAAACTCCTGGACTGATTTGCCTCATATTTGATTGGGGAACTCGGGAGACCCACGGGAATGTTCTTAGCTTGGTTTTTAGATTCTTTAGTTTTGTTGGCCGAATTTAATAGCGAAAAATTAGTTTCCCGGTAAAATCTTTCAAGTGCAGGTAAACGGCGGGAGTAACCTGGACAGCACAGGGTTCCTAAGCTAGTATAACATAATGATATATGAGTAAAAGTTATAATATGTTAAAGCACAATTGTATTTTACAGGGAATTCTATCACACAAAAAATGTTATAGTTATGATATATGAACCGACTTGAAAAAAGAGCTCAAATCATTCACAATGTTTCGGATGTACAAAATTTGGGCCCGATCGGTTCAGCCGTTTTGACATTTATATGATACAAACAAGCAAACAGACACCCAGACCCAGAAAATTTGGGTTTACTTTTTCTCATTTTGCATAATATATGTATTTTTGTTCCGCATCCTAATTATGTACAGTATGTACAGTACAGTATGTACGATCTATCACACTGAATGCTGATATGCTGACGGATGTAAACTGAGGTGTACCGGAGTCCCGGAGGTTTAGAAGAGGTTTGAAGGAGAAATCAAATATCTCCGAATCTGAGATCTGGTCTGGTCTATTTATACTCAACTCTTCTATCTCTCTTCCACGCAAACACCGTTTCATTTCAAGGACAGGGTTACCCGCAAAGGATGAGCCTTAAAGACGATCTGAAACTCATAAAATATGACGATTACAAGGTTAAATTAAGTCTTCTGCCTTTCATATTGTCTTTAAATGGCCTATTTTTTGACATGGCAATGAAAGACACCAGTGTAAAGTTGCAGAGAACATAAATTTAAAGAAAGACAGTATAAAGTCTGTTAAGCAAAGAGAATAGTATATATATTAGAGGGGAATTAAATAAAAAAAAGTGTAAAACGGCCATTTTGTTGTACTGTTTCCATACTGCAGCTGTATTTCACATATTTATGCTATATAACCTTTTGAGCCCTGGAATATCATTTTATAGAAAATCTAAAATTATTGTTAAAAAAACCAAATTATGAAATAGGCTGGTTTCATAATTGACCAATGATTATTTCACATAGACTCTATGCCTTCCACATTACAAATGATGATTTTCTGTTATAACTATAAATCAAATGATGTTTTTTATTCACCTAATTCATTATAAAGTTTATTTAACAGCTTTAAAAAATTCGAATTTGAAATGGATAATCTGGGAACATACTGTATTAATGTACTCTACTGCATATAATTTGTGAACATTTACATGATTTGTACACTTTGAACTCCCTTTCAGGCTGAAAGGGACTGAAAAAATTCATACCGAGATATTCTTTAAATTCCCCTCTAATATATATTCTATTCTCTATGCTGTTAAGTCGTCTCTGAAGTCTCATCCTTTGTGTAACCCTGAACCAGACTGACTTTAAGGAAGCTAGAATAAGTTGAACATATCGCCACCCCACTCATAGAACCTTATCTAGGTTCTACTCACGGCTGCTGTCTCATCTCCTCCAACCCTCCAGGATGGCACCACTATATGTCTTTAAATTGTGATCTTTGCATTGTCCATGTCTCTTGTCCTTTCTTGTGTCATATCTATAGTGGTGTTTATATTCCAGATAAATGCCAAGAAGATCCTAAAGGCCTTCCTGTGTTATTATCGTATTGATTCCTGGATTCCGGATTGTGGATCCATCTCTCTCTCGATCTCCTGGATACCGATCCTGAGCGTTCTCGTTCTCCTGCAGTCCAAGACAGACCAGGCGGTTCATCTACTCCTTTCCTCCTTCTCTGTTCCTTTCCTAGACGTAGCCAGGCGACCCTCGCCTGGACGGAACTAGGAGGACCACTCAGACCGGAGCAGATATACAGGTGTGTTACTTGCGTATTATACAAATTTTGCTGGAAACTTTAGAAATTGGATACTTTTAATCAAAGAGACAAAATTATATATAGAGTGAAATCTTAACAATCCCTCAGTTTGAATTTTTTCAGTCCCTTTTAGCCTGAAAGGGAGTTCAAAGTGTAAAATTCATGTAAATGTTCACAAATTATACGCAGTACATCACAATAATACAGTATGATCCCTGAACATAGCGATTCTAATTTCTTAGTTTTATAAAGTTGTTAAATAACTTTGAACATGTGTATTCGCTATAAGTGAATTAAAATCATTATTTTATTAAACATTAAAATGTAAAAATCGTCGTTTGTAAAGTGCGTACCTACAGAATTGTTAATCTTTTTTTGCTTCAGACCCTTTTGTTTACTGAAATTAATATCTTGTCTTAAAATAAATTTCCTATTTCAAATAGAGCTTCGCGCCCATTTTCTATTTTAATTTTGAACATTTTCTCTTAGTTTATTATTGCAAAACAAAAACAAACAAAAAGTAATAAGGGTTTCAATTTTGACAATAAATATTGTTCTCAAAATTTTGATGATTTGCGTAGAATATACAAATGTGGCGAAAGATAATCGATGACTATAGGTTGTAATATCTGAATGATTTGTTTGAAATTAAATAGATTTTTTTACGCTCTAAGTCATATGTTGCATTTTTCTGAATTTGTATGGACACTACATTCTTGGTATTTGTCGTTTTTAACAATTTTCTCCTTACAGACGCAACAGCTAGAAGTAAGATTAGTAGCGATCAAAAGCGCTTTTTTATCGCATTAAGCCTATACCCCCTTTAATTTTTCGCGAACACTCCCTTTAACTAAACAATTTTTTTATTTATTAAGTGTTTCACAGGGAAAATAATTTAAATCCATAGAATTTAAGTATCTATACATTCTACATATAGAAGTTTCCCACAATTTTCTAGGGTTGTTTCCGCTCTTTCCGTCTGCCCCTTAGCTGACTCAGAGCCGTTTTACTTTTTAGCAAGGCTTAAAACTTAGCAAACATAAATTAGAGTGGTTAAATGTTTTCCTTCCTTTTCACAGTTTTATGAGTCCCAATGCATAAAAGTTCTCAAATTAAAATTAATAACCAATTACCTTCCTCATCCTCACTTTTAATATTTTGGTATCTTGAGTATTTCAAAAATATTGGTTTTACTGTTTGATTACCCCAAATTAAAAAAAAATATGGTTTTTACTAAATAAAAACATCAAATTGATTATTATCGTATTTAACGTATCTAACACTGCGCACTTAGAGTGATCGTATTTCTTAAATTTAACTTAACATTATTAAATTTAGAATTGCCATTGCCATTTAAGACCATTTTTCATTTAAAGAGAGTGTCTTGCTAAACATTTAGACAAAGATACGTTTGTACGGTGTGAAAATTAATCATTAAAATCCTCCTGGATTGTACAACCTACAATACAGGCGTGCCCACCTAGCTCTTGTGCGGCAGCACTATAGTTTCAGTGGAAGTAAATATTTCCATTTACTGATAGCACCGATTGAAGGATTCATATCTCTAATTGGATAATGAGATAGATAGAAAGATAGATGTTACCGCTATGCAATTTCTATTGGTTCAGAATAGACATAAAACACATGACTGAATCCTGATTGGATCAGGCGCTAATAGACTCGGCATGCAAGAGTGGCAGGCCTACCTGACGGGTTTGTGGCCTGAGGGCCTACGCCCCTGCCTAGTAGGTTGGACAGGACAATCCAGGAGGATTTTAATAATTGAATTTTTACTCTTTCTAAGTAATTATACACAGTACTATTGTCCTACAGGTCTCGAATGATTTCTAAAATATTTCTCTACAATATACTGCACTCTCAGCTCAACTAACATGTCTAGCAACACACTCCCTTTCAGACCATTTTCATTTGTAGAATATCTTTTATAATAATAGCTACTCTGTATTCCGGAGACATTCAAGACTGAGGATAATTTTTCTTAAAGTTTTCAGTCAATTTGAAAATTGTTTTAATCCAGTTATGGTTTGGTGGAAAACAGAGAAAAGAGCTACTAATATAGTTATGAAATTATATATTTTTATCAAAACATTGAAGACAACTTTTCCATTTAAAGGGAGTGTTCGCGAAAATTGCAGGGGGTATAGGCTTACGGTAAAAAAATAAGCGCTTTTGATCGCTACTAATCTTACTTTTATTTGTTGCATTTATAAAGAGAAAATTGTTAAAAACCACTCACACCGAATAACGCTTAACGGAAAGATTTAACATTCAACTCGGATTGTAAAATAATCAAATTAATTCCCAACAAATCATTCAGATATTACAAACAATAGGCATCGATTATTTATCGACGGATTCGTATATAGTTTATATTTCATAATATTTTTGATATTGATTTTTAAATAATATTTTGCTGCCGCTGGATTTTCGAACATTCCTGGAAAATATGAAAATGTCGTCTTTATTATCAAAAATCCTCGAAACAGGAATAAATGTTTTCAAAAGTAACTCTCAAATCATGAAAAATAAAAAAAAATAAATTTTGAAATATTAACCATGTATACAAATGCGTCGAAAAATTAACGATGATTATTGGTTGTAATATCTGAATGAATTTGTATTTATGTTAATCGTAAATTCACGAAAAATAAAGCATTTTCCTTAAGGGCATTATATGATGGGTGTTGTATTCCTCAAATAAACTGGAGGTCGTCTTCAGTCTAAAGTCTGAATAATTATATTGCATTACCAATGTAAAATTTTTTTAATTTTGTCAAAAAACATTAATAATAATCTGAAGTTCTATAATCTTTTTAAAGTAGAATATATAGAACATTGTTTTGATATATTGCAAATATTTTTTGGGGCATCAAAGGTGTAACAGAAAACCGTTAATTTTCACAAAACATCAGATATTTGCTCTGATAATTGACCGATTCCTATAAATAATTCTTTTTATCTCTATGTTCGTGTAAATATAAAAGGTCTGTCTTCTAAGTTTTTATCTCTATGTTCGTGTAAATATAAAAGACTTGTCTTCTATATTTTTATCTCAATGTTTGTGTAAATATAAAATGCTTGTCATCTATATTTTTATGTCTGTGTTCGTGTAAATTTAAAAGACTTGTCTTCTATATTTTTATTTCTATGTTCGTGTAAATATAAAAGGCTTGTGTCTTCTATATTTTTATCTCTATGTTCGTGTAAATATAAAAGGCTTGTCTTCTATGTTTTTATCTCTATGTTCGTGTAAATATAAAAGGCTTCTCTTCTATATTTTTATCTCTAGTTTCGTGTAAATTTAAAAGGCTTGTCTTCTATATTGAAACAAATGAAAGAATAAATTCTTTAAAGAAAATGTCTGAGTTTTCGCGAATAAAGAGAATAAATCACTTAAATATAGAACCTAGATAATTTTAAAGGGACTGTAAGTGTAAAGGATGAGACTTCAGAGACGATTGTACGGAATTTGTATAGTCAGTTTTCTTGTATTCGGGGTTCTTGCAGGCCAAAACTGACTTGTTTCTGTGCTTAATCATTTAGTAAACCATCAAAATACTTATTGAATGAAGAAACTAAAATTCAAGCTTCAAATTGTCATAGTTTTAGAGTTTTAGATCGTCTTTACAGTTTCATCATTTGTGGGTAACCCTGTATATTGTATAGACTATTTTAAACGTGTTTCCCGATATAATAAATTTAAAATTACATCATTATCAAGAAAATTTAAGTAAATTGAAAATGACAACAATCTTTTTTTTTAAACTACATTAAGCTATAAATTACAAAAATACAGTTTACACAATTATTGGTAAATATTTAGTATAATTAAAATAACTACACACGACAGAATCTGATTCTGTAGTAAAAGTAAATTCAACCTATATGAAGGATAAAATCTGACCGCGTCATCCTTGGTCCTTGTTGCACTGGCTAGTCTTGTCCATAGAGCTAGGTACAGTTCAAACTCGGACTGGAAAGGTTGACCCGGCTCGGAAATTCAAATGTACTACGGCTGCCCGTGACACAGAATCTGATTCCGCAAAATGTAAAAGATATAAGACCCTTGAAGAGACTGTTTACGTGAATTCAAGTCACTCCATCAAGAAATGAATTTCAAGCCTTATTCACGGTGGTACAGAGCTTTACATCATTTCCCTTTCTATGTCTGTTGCAGATTCCGCAATTCATTTAACAGAAGAGGGAAACAACCATTGAAAATTATAAATTTGAAAGGGCATCTTTTTCATTTTTGCAAAGACAAAGGTTTCAAGGGAACCGTTGTGAATTGGGCCACTTGGATTTACATTGACAGTGTCATTAATAGTGCTTGTGTTGTGTACTGTACACAAATATCAATGACGAGTAGCATTAAATTTTGTGGAAACATTTTTTTATTGAGAAATATAGACATTCTTCATCAAACTAATGAACATATTTTAAAACTGATAAACAAATAGAACAGATGAACAAATTTAGAACTGATGAACAAATATAGAACAGATGAACAAAATTAGAACTGATAAACAAATATAGAACAGATGAACAAAATTAGAACTGATGAACAAATTTAGAACTGATTAACAAATTTAGAACTGATTAACAAGTTTAGAACTGATGAACACGAATAACCTAAACAAAAATAAATCAATAATCGTTTTTAATCAAATATAAAAATTTAACTATTTTGAAATATTACCTTCATGATGAAATCTGAAATCTGTGTCAATTCCTTGAAAAATGGCTAAAAAAAGGTTAGAAAAAAGCATATGATACCTGTTCCATGTTTTGGGAATATGCTAAGGAGAAAATTATTGTTTACAAACAAAATTTTTTTTCAGATTAGCTTGTCCTTGATGTACAGATACACTAAGGCAAAGATATTCCGATAGGCTCTTTTATTGTTTAATCATTTTTAAACAGTTAGTCGTGTATAAACTATAAACTATAAACTATAAACTATAAACTATAAACTATACAGTATTTACACATTTACCTGGTTTTACAAATCTGGCGAGAATTGTATAAAAGAAATAAAAGTTCTCAATGATTTTTAGGAAACTTTTAATTCTTTTATTCCAGTAGGTTCCATGATGCATGAAATATAAGTGATTATCGAAAACTAGAAAGTACGATAATTATTTAAAACAATAAAAAATGTTAGAATTGTGTTTGTCCATTGCTTTACGAAAAATATTTGCGGCGCATTTTAATTGGTAAGAAAAAGTAATTTTAAATCTAGATTGTAAATTGTAACCCTCAATTTAAAAAAAAGAGTTGCAATTTCGATTCACCATGGTGTCCGAGAAAGGTTTGTCTGATAAAAAATGAAGGTTTTATCCATTTTTTATCTTAGAAAATAATTTATATCACAACTTAGTTTCTCAATTAAGTGCGGATATCTGCTACAGAGACAATTGGTGAATATGAATAGGGTTTGTCTTTCTTGAAATGGAGGCTGCTGAAGATTACAATGAAACAAAAAAATTTCAGATTTTGATAAAACAAAAATAAATGTACTTACTGTTACAAGGATGAAACTGTTGAGGCCACCAGACCATGGAATCATTAAATCCATTATTTGGATCATGTTTCCAAATACATGTCACCTCTTGATCTAAACATTAAATCCATTATTGGATCATGTTTCCTGACACATGTCACCTCTTGATCTAAACATTAAATCCATTATTTGTGCCTCTAGACACATGTCATCTCTTGATCTAAACATTAAATCCATTTTGTGTGCCTCTAGACACATGTCACCTCTTCATCTAAATATTAAATCCATTATATGTGCCTCTAGACACATGTCACCTCTTCATCTAAACATTAAATCCATTATGTATGCCGCTAGATACATGTCATCTCTTCATCTAAACATTAAATCCATTATGTGTGCCTCTAGATATATGTCATCTCTTCATCTAAACATTAAATCCATTATGTGTGCCTTTAGACACATGTCATCTCTTGATCTAAACATTAAATCCATTATGTGTGCCTCTAGATACATGTCATCTCTTGATCTAAACATTAAATCCATTATTTGTGCCTCTAGATACATGTCACCTCTTGATCTAAACATTAAATCCATTATTTGTGCCTCTAGATACATGTCACCTCTTGATCTAAACATTAAATCCATTATTTGTGTTTCTAGACACATGTCACCTCTTGATCTAAACATAACATTAATTATGTGTGCCTCTAGACACATGCCACCCCTTCATCTAAACATAAATTAATAATGTGTGCCGACAAAAAAGTTAAAAAATTATGTTTATTAAGTCACATTGTAATTGAAAATCATAGTTCTGTGTTAAAAGAACATTATAAACCCAATAAAAACAATATCGTTTAATTTAATCCATCTTTGATTAAGTTTATATCATGATTCTATTATTTGAATCTACAAGTTTATAAGTTTTTACCTCTTTGTGGATGAGGCAAAGCACCGTATTTGCCCCAACTCTTTCCATCCAGTGCTGGATAACCGCTAGAAAAAAACAAGTTGTTAAAAAGAGATTGAAAATATAATCGATTTTTTTTCAACTAGTGCAGTAGCTTACTAATTATTTTTTCTTTAATATTTTCAATTAATTTTGTTTGATCAAAAAGTTTCAGTTTGAGATATCAACACCATAAAGTTTGCTAAGATATACGAATAATAAAATTTGAGTTCTTGTAATGTGCTTAGTTTGGCAAATCTTTAAATAAAGGATGTTAAAACATTGTGATATTAATTTCATTATATTCGGGTAAAGATGAAACATTTCAGAGAATGAAGTTTGAAGAGTTTTTTTTCAACACACTTTATTTGCCTTGTTGACACCTTTTTTAAAATAATTATTTTACTATTTTATACTCAAGTTATGATTCTATGTTGCTACAATGCAACATAAATATAAAACCCATTATAACAATATTGAATATACATTGCGTAAATTTCTTTCTATTTCACGGTATTATGGATCCCGCGGTATTATTTTTTACCCAATTGAAAAATCAATAATTTTTATAATTACCTAGGTAGTGGTATGTCCATATATTGACCGTGTGGACACCTATAAACTATCACATCCCCTAATTCATTAACTCGGTTCGTCCAAATCCGTTCATATTTGTAAGGTGCAGATGGAGGTGGTTGGGTGCATCGTCTTTCTATGAAAAATTATTTTTTTTAATTTCCCACAACTAAGCATTTAATTAGTAAGAATTAGGGCTGGTCATATTCTTGATTTTTGAAATTGTACGGTCCTTGTTTTGTTAATGAGCTGGATTGTTTGTCTCTGTTTGTTCTTTTCAAAACCTTTCGTTCCGTTACTTGATAAAGTATTGTATCCGATCTTTACTGGTTGTTAATGATTAGATTGTTACCAATGGTTAATCATTAAATATCATTTATTTTTCCTTCTCCTCAGTTCACAACAGAACCCTTTAAACTTTGAGGTGATCAAGAATAATGGGTTTATGTACTACATATAGGTTTATGTACTACTAATGGGTTTATGTACTACATATAGGTTTTGTCGATAACTTTGTGTTCAGACTGTTTATATTAAAAAATCATTTAAATTTAATTTTAAGAAGATAAATATTAATTTAATTTTAAGAAAATAAATATTTTTAAAACCACATTGCATTGATTATTTCACATTGTATGCTAGCTTACACTCTAGTTTTACAGTGATTTTAGAGATAAACACAAAGATTTCTCTGTCTTTAATGATCAATCAAAGGTTAAAGATACCGTTGTACAGGGTCGGTTGAAGTTACGTTTACAGTCCCTTTAAAGGACAAGGATGTTTTTTATCAAATAAAATAGTACTTACTCATACAAGGAATCAGAGTGCTACTAGACCACTTCTTATTAGGGAGACATTCATTATACCAAAATGGAAAATTTCCATTTTCGAACATATATCCATTTTTGCACTTGTATCTAAATCGTTGGTATAGATCAGAAAGTAATTATTAAATGTTTAAAAAATGTTTTAAATTATTTGATCAATAATCTGACCTTGTAACATCAGGATGATAAAGCCTCAATGCACCAGGGCCTTCAGAAATTGGAGGTGGCTGATCAGGACATGGCAGTTCTTAAAGAAATTAATCATAATTTAACTGTTGACGCAATTTCAAGTGGAGGCCATTTGATATTGAGTCGCCTGCGCATGTCATAAATGCACGGTGTCTCGCTTCATATAAGATCGTTTTTAGCTTTAAATTACGATTTTCGGTTAAGAAAATTTAAAAAGAATGAATTATTTTAAAAAGTTATAATTTGTAAGCAAAAAATACTAGAAAAATATTCTAAGTTTGTCACATTGAAGGTTTGAACCATATATAGAGATTAGTAAATTAGAGCTAGTTTGAGGTAAGTGTAAAGAGGTCAACATAATCTAAGCTAGGTAAAAATTCAAATTTTACCGACCAACTTAATAATTAAATAATTAAAGAATGATTGTGTATGTTTATTACTATTACTATTATTATAAACCAGCTTATCTTACTCTATGCTAAATATTGACCCTGAGAGAAAATGTATAAAAAAACGCGTGGGCCGTTTTTTTAAGTTAAAAAAAAACTAACTAAAACTATTGTACTACAAGCGTAATTTAGAGTGACGATGACAATGTCCGATTCACAATGGTACCCTTATTTGTCTGATCAAGTTTGAATTAGATATCCATGTTTACTGTTTTGAAAACTGTTACAGCAAGAACATGCCTGAGAATTATCAGACATAAACACCATTCAGTCTAGATAAACGACAATATCTTCTCCAATATTGATCAGACTAAGGGTTCAATGGTACCATTGTAAATATAACATTGCCATCCTTGCACATGAAATTACACTTACAGTCTCTTGAAATACTTATAATTAGGGGCAAATGGGTGCAAATATGTTAGTGGAATTTGAAATTTTATTTTAATTGGGGGGATTTTTTTAAATTGGGGGCAAATGTGTAAGTGGAATTTTAAACTGTTTTTTTTTAATTTGGTTTTTTTCAAATTGGGGGCAATGGGGGCAAATGTGTTAGTGGAATTTGAAAATGCTTTTTTAATTGGGAGCATTTTTTTACAATTTGGGGAATTTTTTTTAAGTTGGGGGCAAAAAATTTTTTTGGGATCGAGAAAATCAGCTTTTTTGGGAATTATATGGACCCCTGATACTTACTAATGCAGGATGGAACATCTGTAACATTCCACTCTCCATTGCTGAGACATCTTGATACTGTTCTATTAAGTCCATCACGCATGTATCCCCAACCAGACATAGTGCACTCGTATACAATTATAGTACTATAAGGTCGAGGTTTGCCAACAATTTCAGTCCAATTCATGGTTGATTGAACACTATTTTGAATAATGAAAGGAGCAGTGCAGTTGATTGCTAAAACAGTTCAAAAATCAAGTTTTTGACAGAGCGTAAAGGAATTAAGTCTTTGCCATCAACTCTAATTTTCTAATCCCTTTATCTATACAAGCTTATGGTGTAGATATATATATATACAACATTCGGTTCAAATGATAGAGGGATTTTTTTGGCAAAGACTCAATTTCTAGGTTGTAGGTTATTTTGTTGGATAAAAAATAAAACAATTTTGTGGCTAAACTTTAAAAAAAATTAATCAATCTCCAGAAGGTTAGTAATGTTATTTTCACTCTTTTTCTTTTACTATTTGAATGGAGTCTTTGTCACAAAATCAAATTTTCTAATTTGCATCTCGATGGTGTAAACATTTTATATTTCAAACTTAGATTATATGATCCAACATAATTCATTGTTGGAAATATCTATGGTCTAAGACCATTCGGTTGCAAAGATAGGAATTAGAAAATTATAATTAGTTTGTGGCAAAGACTCAATTCCTTCTTTGTAGTTTAATGTGTCTGAACAAAGAGAAAAATTTGTGTGGCTACATGTTATAAAAGTTCATACATAGGTTTGAAAAGTAAATCAGGCATCAGAAGATTCTTGTTTCTTAAGTTCCGGTGAACTCATGAAATATAAATAAAATTGAGAAAAGAAAGATAAACTTACGAATGCATTTTGGCATGACTGGTGTGTTTGGAAATGGATTATAATCTAAGAGGGGTCTCCAATGTCTGTCAGCATCACACAAAACTTCAAATTCGCTTGTCTCAATCATCTGTTCATTGTCTTTGTTTGGGTGTTCAAGAACATGTCCATTTGGACAGGAATACTTAATCTTTCTCAAATATATATTCCAGTCAGGATCAGATTTGTTTCTAATTGAAACATCATGTACAGCTTGTGCTGTATTATTTGGACTTTCAGGCACTTCCTTATCGCATACAACAGCTAAAAGTGTTAAACTTAATTTTTTTAATTCAAACCTATTGATAAATCACTAACCACATTAAAAATAATACTTACGAATGCATCTTGACGCGGAATCAAAATCATAAATCCATGTCCAATTTCTACATTCTGCCTCAAAATAGATGCTGAAGGAATCATTAAACACAAATCCTAATGGACATGTGTAGTTAACCACAACACCATCTGGAACTATTTCATAGATATCAGTAAATTCTCCAGTGTTATTAGTTAGAAAGATTTCTACTTCTTCAGTGACATTTGCTGGGTCATAAAACCATTCTGGTCTATGTAGTCTAGTTCGGGTTTTTGAAATTCTGTAAACTTGGCCTTCATGTGCTTCTATGTTAAACCAACTGGACTCAAAATTTACTTCTTTACTATTAAAAGCTGCAAAGGATGGCACAGGAGGAGGACTCAAGCAAGATGGAGCAGGAGGTTCAAATGGACAGTCCTCAAGACAGAATCCCCACATACTTATGTTTCCACTTGAATCAAAACCTAAAATTTTGTAATGATTTCTCAGCATACACCGATCTGTACTATACACTCTACTTATACTATAATAGAAAAAATTTACGACAGTAATCCCCCAAAACAATTGACAAAACCAGCCTTTTTTCACAATTGCACCTGTAGGGCACCAGGGTTTGAATAAATCTTGAGAAGAGCAATGTTTATATTCAACATTTTTGTAGGTAAAAGGAATAATGCAAGGAAACCCGTCGACTGTGTAACAAGCCTGATGCTCACAAATACTTGGAAGTGACATTTTGCAACCATCTCCATACTCAGGAACAATTCTTCCATTTTGTGATAGGGATAGACAACCCTAAAAAATATATAAATATACTTAATAATAAAAAATAATAATATAAAACCCCTGAAAACCTTTAAGTAAATAATAAACCATTTACCTTGCCCCCATACCCAGCTTTCTGGACTGAGACTGCTCCAGCAATTGAAATTTCAGTAAACTCATTTAAATTTGTAGCATTATATCCAATTGTTTCAGTCCACTTGTCATTGAAGGCCACAGTGAATGCGGTCATATCACAAGAAATTGTAATTGAGAAGTTTAAGCTGGTGCCAAGGTTAAAACCTGAGAGCATTACTTCAGGATTAGAGATCACTGTTGTTCCATTTAAACCACTCAAAATAAATGAATTTGTTTCATCAGCATCATTAGAATCCAGTCCACCCTTATAAAATACCCATTTAAGGGGAATAGTTCCTGAAGGGCCTGTAATTTTCAATGATGGTTTATTACTATCAATCCTTTTTAACGTAAAGACTCCCTTGACAGTGAACACTTCAGAAATTGATGTTTTGCAAATACTTGGCTTAAACTTGAGCCTGGTTGTTGGACTCACAGAATTTTCCACAAAATATCCTTAACATTGATTTTTTTTTATGTAAATGTTACAAAATGAAAAATTAGTTAAGATCTAACCTGCTTTTGTTTCTGCATATTTCCATGAGCGTTCTTTTGAATAATCAATAACATCCAATGGAGCTGCAAAATTATTGACTCTTTCATTCTGTAAAATAAAACATTTTTCTGATAATATTCCTAACTAGCTTGGGAACACAGCGTTGTGCAGAGCACTCATAGTTACTCAAGCAGTATACTCGCAGTCGATACATTCAAATCTAAAAACCAAGAACATTTCCGCGGCACTAACAAGTTTCCCAATTAAAATTTGAGTTAAATCAGTCCAGTGATTCTTGAGTTCTGATCCGACAAACAAACAGACAAACAGAGAGCACAACTTTATATATCTAGATATTCAGTCTTTACTAACCTCAGTTATCCATTCAAAACCATCTTTACTAACACCATCTATCCATGCTTGACTAAATAATGGAAATTCAAAATATTTCTATTTAACATTTAACATTAAATAAACAGTACCTGTCCCATTGTAACACATCTTGTATATTGCTCAAATCTTTAGGAAGGCCTTTTCTTTGAAGGTCATCAGAGTTACTTACACACTGCTCATTGGCAAAGCTTGCTTTTCCTGTTAAACGATTTAAGCTTTTGCTACAAACTGTGATTTTCTGATCACTATATCTTTGCATCCCAATGTCATAGACATTAAATATTTCAAACTATGAATAGTGTTAGATCAAAAAATCCAAGTTTGAAATTTCAAAGGTTTGCACTATTAGGTTGTAAAGATATAGAGATTAGAAATTTAAGATTGTGGCAAAGGCTCAATTCCTTTTGAAATATTTGTCAGATAAAATCATTATTTTAGATTAACTTATTATATACCATCTGATTTTGAGTAGCAAGTACGCCCATCTTTTTCATGTGGATACAGCTTGAATCCTGATGGGCAGTTTGGTGCTAAAACAGAAATATGAATTAAGTAATTTATTACAAAATTATGTATAACTAATAGATTTATAAACTTACGGGTCCATAAGCAGATAAACTCAAACTGTATCTCACAGGGAGTTCCTCTTGGTAGAAACCAAATACCCTTTTTCAGATAAGCGCAGGGATGTCCAACAAGTTTAGAACTCTCACCATCATAGTCATAGGATTGAGGTGTATAGAGGGACTTATCAGTAAACATATTTTCCCCAGCTGTCATATTCAGTCCAATAAATATACTTCCACTGTTCTCCTGGATCAGATACTTCTTTATCAAGAGATACATTCCTTTGGTTTTCAAGGGAAGAACTATTCCTCCTCTTTGTGCACAAGAGTGTTTAGCTTCAGAGAGAGAGTTTGACGCATTACTCTTAAAGAGGCATTTGCCCTTGTAACTAAAATGATCTTCAGGGCAAACAAAGTTTGGATTCTTTGGAGTAGAACAAAAGAAGTAGTGCTTTTCTTCACAGGATACACTTTTCATTTTACTGAAACAAAATCAGTTAAGCATTAGGTATCAAGAATCATGTTTCAAGCTCAATTTAAAGGGAGTGACCGGCTATGTAAGGTAGTTGAACTGAGTATGCAGTCTTGTGAAAAACATCTTTTGGATTCATTTGAGACATATTCAACTTTTTAAAGATCTGTAAATCTTGAGTTTGAGCGCAAATTCGACGTTCAAAACTCCTACTTTGGGGGTGGATACGATTTCAGAATTGTTTTTACTGGAAGAAAAAAGACAATAAAACAAATTAACATTTTACTTGTACTTGATACACCTTTTACAATTAATGATAACTCTAACGTGTAAGGTGCGCACTAGAATGAAATCTTACTAGTTTAAAGTGGAGTCAATTACTACACAGTGAACTGATGAATCAGGCTGACCCTCTGCCCAAGGCACATTAGACCACTCTTCCCCATTACTATCAATCCATTTAGTTCCAGGAGGATGTTCTGAATATTTCAAGTCAACATGATGTAAAATAATGGCTTCTAATTTTTATACCTGACATTGAATCTAGTCCTGTCCAAATTTGGCTTGTATTAACAGCTTTTTTAGCTTCAAGACTGAGCATTTCCAATATCTCAAAATTTACAGGAATGTTTAGCTGTGTCACATAGGGATCATTTGGATCTGACAGACAACTCAGTTCAGCCTCCGTGTAAGTTAGTGGATTAGGTGATAGCTTATAACAATGTTCATGAATCAGTTTGTAACCAGGTGGACATGGTTTGGATCTTTTATAGTTAATGTCAACATGGCAGATTTTAGAAAGTTGATATACTTGAGCAGGAGACAAGAATTTGTTGGATATTTGAAGACAGGACATTTCTCCCAGAAACCCAGAATTATCTTTGGGCGAAGCTCCAATGATCATTGTGTTCCCAACAGCATAATTTTTAAACCATCCATTGGTTTTAAATGTAAAATGTGAGCCTTCAGCATCTCCAGTTCCATATGTCTCATTAATAAAAAGATGCCCAATTTCCTTCTCATTGTCATATGTCATTGCAATAAATGTCCAAACATTAAGCTGTATTAGTTCATGAGAATTTCTATACTCTGTTTTAGTGCAGGCTATATTCTCACACATCCAAATATGTAACTGATTATTTCTGAAATACATGTAAAATGAGTTATTGATTCCTGTGACCCAAATTGGTATTGTTAAGGGTGAACTTGTTCTTAATCTGATCCACATTGTTATGGTGAACCCGTATGTAGTAGAGATATTTTTGGTGTTAAATTCTTCAAAATAAGAATTTACAGATTTTCTGAATAGAGCTGGTTGTGCTAGTTCTGTTTGCCAGACTGAAAGGTTGGAGAATCCAACATTATGTTCTACAGATGTATCTGTTACATTATCCAATGGATGAACATAATCAGGAATGCCCATTTTTTCAATAGCATCTGGATGTGTAGTTTGAGATGTCTGACAGATGAATGGAAGTTCTTGAACACAATCATAAAGCTTAAAATCATCTCCAGGAGAAACCATCCCAACACAGTCACCTACACCTTTATGTATACATCTATTAATAAATATACAAAGACATCACTCAGCTTTAAGAAATTAAATAAATTCAATTTGAATTAAAGAAAAAAAAATAGACAAATAGAAAACCTGTTATTCCTGTAAAAGTTCTTGTAGATTCAACATAGTTTGAGGTGTGAAAATATTTGTCAAGATCAGGTATGATTGAATACAATTGTCTACGGTATCCAGTCCAAGCAGAAACACTATTGTTTGATTCTTGCTGAATGAGTTCATTGACGAATTGAGAGTGTATCAAAGTCAGTGGTTCAAACAGGTGACCTTTCTGTGCATTGCAAATCATTAGAGCCTCTGTGAATTGTTTTGGCTCATTAACAAACAGAAAGCATTCTTCTTGGAACATTGTAAATTTATCAGGACATGTCCAAGAATCCTCAAATTCACAAATAAAGCCTTTTGTACTGACTTCTTCAGTTTCTTCTACTGGAATAAAATCAATTATTGCAGTTAACGGATCCGAGGAAATGGACCTAAGAAAAGCTTTGGATGGTTTGGTAGAAAAATCAACGTTAGTGATCCAGGGGCAGCCTAAAACTGGTGCAAACCCATTAGAAGAGACAGTTTTCAGCTCGGTTCGCTGATTTCTGGAAATTCTTCTTGCGGTGTAGCTATCAAGTCCACCTCCTAACATGCCAACCCAAAATTGATCCATAGGAGAATGGTTTACTCTCCAGATGTCCTTAGAGAGAGCTGGCAAATCATCACAACTTTCAAAGTACGTGAGCCTTGCATGATCTTTTGCACAATTGTAAGTAGCAGTGTTAAATGAGACTGCGTCTCCCAGACTTTTCATTTTTAAGCATTTCTTCAAGTTAGGATACCATTTGTAACCAAGTCTACATTTAGATTGGCAGATGTATGGCTTCATTTTTGATTTATCCTCGGCTACCCACTGAAATTTGCTGCTCTCCACAGTTAAGCCGTAATTATCAGTACACAGGGAAGTATCTAAGCATCCTGAATTTTCCTCTCCATCCTTCCAGTCTGAGTAAAGAGTAAAATTTTTACCATTGGACATCCAACGCCATGTTAAATCAATGACACTTCCCCCAACCCAGTAAGATGACAAGTCTGGGGAATATTTTGGTAAAAAGTACATTTTTGTTTTTGACAGTATTTCTATGTACTTTTGAATGTAAGGTATAAGAGTATCATCTAATATAGTCAAAAGGAAAGCTCCTTCTTTAGCACACTTTGCTGATGCATCATAAAAGTTTTCAGCAAAGGCTGAAACTCGTATACATGTGCCATTAATCTTTTCATAGTTTGGAGAACATTCTGAATTGGGAGACCCCATGAACTCTGTACAATAAGCATACTCATCAATTTTTTCATCAAATGCTTTGGTTGGGTTAAGTTTTGTTGGACACCATATTTCATCTTTGTCACCAAAGGTACAAATATCATACCAGATTCTGTCAAATGAAAATGGGAAAATACAGTCACTTCCATCACCATCCCCTTTGTAAGTTATTTCTCGCTCATCGGTACATGTCCCTATTTTATCTAGCTTCATAACTCCATTCTCATCAACTTCTGTAGGACACCATGGAGTGTCAGATGTTTTATTAATGACACAAGAAGTTATCAGATTATCATCACCAGGTATTTTAAAGGGAAAGTGACATGATGAGTTTTTCTCTGTGTCTATTGTGTAAATAGTCTTGGATTCACAAATATAAGCTAGATATGAGGTTGGAGAATGGGTACTGCAGAGTTCTAATGTGAGTAATCCCCTTGTGTCTAGCATAACACATGCCTTTCCAGTGTATTTGTTGATATTTGGGATTGTAGTTGATCTAAGAGAACCTTGAAGCAGTATTTTTTTCTCAATCATATATGCTCTACTTCCATCCATGTATTGAATCTCTAAACTGGGAAATACACTTTTTGCATAGGCCCCAATGATGTTGTATGAGGTGGTTGAATAATAGTAAAACAAAGGAAAGTCTGGCTTCAAAAAGTCATCTTCAAAGTTTATCAAACTGTCTAAATTAGAGTAATCTCTTGGTTGGTACAGTCTTGCACCTTTTTGTTTACATTGTGTTTCTGCTTGATTAAGATTTCTTGTTATATCTGGGTAAGTTCTTGCTGATATATGAATGCAAGTATTATCATGAAAAAAGTATCCAACTGGACAGTTTTGAACAAAACAAGAAGGTTGACAAGTTCCCCTGTTCTCCTCATTATCTATATGATTTCCTTTATAATCTGTAGCAAGACTACACCATGGGACATCAGAATCAATAGTTATACAAGTGTCATGAAGTCTACCTTTGTAACGGAAAGGAAATCTGCACACTTTGTTATTATTTGTCAAGCATTCAGTGAATTGGCACAATGCTCTTATATCAGGATCCCAGCGCTCAGGTAGATCCTTAGTTGCTTTATATCTCACAATAGTAAAGTCTATGCATGTATTGCTTTTGGCTATTGGAGTGCTATCAGAGGCTGGACCAATTCTGAAGCATTCATCTGTAATGTCTTCAATATCTGTAAAAATGAGTTCAAGAGTGTTCTGAGAATATTTTTTCATCGAGAATGGTGAGCGAAATGTTGAGTAATTTCCTATTCTTCTTCCTCTCCAACCTAAGATATTCTTTCATTAAATTACATTCCTCTTTGCATTGTATTTTTGAAAAAATTTATGCATTTTGATATTAAAAGACAATTAATGGGTGAACAATTACTTTTTAGCTCTCCCTGTAAAGTTTTTGCTCATAATTATAACCTCCTTCATCTTCCCTTATTCAATACTGAAAAAAACACTAAAATTTTCCATCATTTGAGAATAAGTTACCTAGTAGTACATCAAAATCTGTATCATACTCTGCTCTCCTGGAAGGAAGCCATTTCTTAAGTGCATCCAGTTCATGAGCTGTATGAGGAGTAAACAGTCTTGCTCCACTTCGGGCACAATATTTTTCACCTTTTAAAACAAATTTGTTTTTGTTTTGTTTAAAACTAACTTTTCCAAACGAAATATATTAAAGTAGAGAATCATATAAAATCTTAAGAATTAAAATTCTGAGGCTTTCTTGTTTGTTTCATTTAAAAAAGCTATTTTAATATCGACTTATTGATTTTAGAATTACCTGAAAAATAATCAACACGAGAGTTGACAGTTCCTGGAGATTCTCCTATTCTCAAACATGTTCGGCCTAGTTCTGGTACCCAGGTGTAGTTAAATGGACAATTAGGACTGACAGAACAAAAATGCTGAAAAATATATTACCTTTCAAATGTTAAGATGATTATATTATCTTTAAAAGTATATGTTTCTTTTTAACTTTTTGACAAACGTCCAAACTTTTACTTCTTATCTCTTACAAAAATGAGTAGAACTTACTGAGAACTTCAGGTTGCAATCTACAATTCTGTGTTTAAAATCAGCAGATTCATCAGCTATCATACAGTCGCCAGATTCCCCTTCATTCAAAATTTGAACCTCATAATTTGAAAGGATTTCACCATTAGCCTTCAGCCAGACTCCATTGGTTTGCTTCACTCCAATCCAAAAAGAACCAATACTAGAGTTGTGAGCATAAACCCTGAAGAAAGATTACAAAGTTTTTAGTGTATTCTTTCTGTCCAATTATAATAATGTGCCAGGATACAGCATCTGCTTAAGCATTTATCATGTAGTTCAAAATAATTGTGGCAAAGTTTCAATTCACTTTATTGTTAAATTACCCTAAGATTGTGGTTTGAATTTCATCAATAGGCCCTGCTACCAGCCCTAGCAGTTCTCCGCAAGTTTTGACTGCTTCTGCATAGGATCTCTTAATGGAATCTACTCTAACACATTGCGCTGCAATTTGAATATTTCCATTCTCATTTGGACACACTGAGGTTGTTGGGAGTGTTGTTTCTATCATTTTTGTTGTATGCCTAAAATTTAGAATATTTATAGTGAGAAACATAAAACTGTGGATTGTGGAACAGGAAGATGATTGTATGCAAAGAACATTAATCACTCAAACTGTACAGTGTTTACAAACAGACACATTTTATTGTATAAGTTGATTTTCAAACTTTTGGAAAACTTATAACTGTACTTCTTAAATTTCCATTTCCATGGGGAAAAAGAGTTATAAATAATGTAAATTACCAATTAAAGCCAACAATATTGCATTTAAGGTTGTATGTTGGTGATCTATGACATCTCCAGCTTGGTTCCCCAGTCAGAAATGTAATCTATTATTCAAACACTCTTAATTTCAGGAAGGTAAAAATATTTAAATATTATTTGATATTAAATCTAAATCTATAAACAGATAGACTAGCTACAAATGAAAATTTTAAACTGTTCAAAGCAATACAAAGATTTTATTTTGATTAGGATTCATTTTTACTACTGTTATTTTGGAAAAGCTTTAAATGAATATTAGAAATTACAATCTGAAATTAAGCCTTGCCTTCTTTTCGTTTGGAGTAGAGTAGACTTGAAGCACTTTCCCTCTATGGGGTAGCACCTTTAAGCAATTAGTTCCTAAAATAGTATACTAGATTTTTAATGGTTCTCTTTAAGTGGAATGATATGACCGGGAATTCACTAATATGCCCAAGCACAAACTTACATAGTGCATATACTATACATTACATTGCCAGTTGCCTGCCTGCTCCCAAGCAGAGCGGACCTATCCTATGGTTCCCAGAATTAAAGCTGGAGAAGCTCTGAGTTTTGTTATGCATCTTGTATCCTACAGGGAAAGCAAGAATTGTACATGGAATAAAAGAAAACTTCAACTTCAGCTTGGTGCACTGAAAGAGGAGTTTATCCCCTCCTGGGAATACAAGCCATGCACAACAATACCAGTTTTTTACTCAAACAGATGTAAGGACTGGACTGCTATGGAAGATTCCTCTCGAGAGAGCTTTCAAGGATCACAACTCCTCATTTTGTATGAGGGGTGCAGTTATGGGTTTTCTTTAAACTAGGAAATAGTATAAAATGAAGTAACACAGGGAGCATTCCCCTATACCCTTCTTCCTACAAACATCCGTATCTCTCTCATACCTGCTCCTCAACTCGATGTCAAAAGAACTATTTGGAAAGGCTTTAAAGTGAAAAAACAAGAAACAAGAAGCAAGAAAAAAGAAATTGAACAGAAAAATAGTGGAAGGGAAATCTCTTGACAGTAGAGATGGGGGCATAAAACAAGATAAGCAAGAAATAAGAAAACTCCTGGGTAGACCAAGGCCGCAAATTTTAGAGACTATTTATGACTGTTAGTCAGTATTATTTCAGCGCCTTGAGACACTTATCATTCATCAAGAGGATCACGACTAAATACAACTGAAAAGCTCATTTTTAGTCAGTGCTCAGAACGGAAAAGGTGTGGGGTTACAAGTTCAATATCCTGACAGGGGGTCTCGCTATATTTGTCCGTATGTGTGTGTCTGTGTGCCCAGCTGTGGCATTTACAGCTACCATGGAAGGCAGCTGGCAATATTTAAATATTTAAATATTTAAATATTAAAATATTTAAATAGGATTACCCGCCTAATAAAGCAACAGAAAATAGGATTGCCCGCCTAATTAGGCAACTAAAAATAGGATTACTCGCCTAATTAGGCAACTAAAAATAGGATTACCCGCCTAATTAGGCAACTAAAAATAGGATTGCCCGCCTAATTAGGCAACTAAAAATAGGATTGCCCGCCTAATTAGGCAACTAAAAATAGGACTAAATATGTGCCTAAAATATTGTTTATAAGCTCTCTCAGGTCAGGGGCGTACACAGGGTCAGTGTAACGCCCCCCCCCATAAAAAATCCTGTCTATGCTCAGATTAAATTCTCATTATAACATTTTTAAATTTAAAAAAATTTATTTATGAAAATTTAAAATTAAATTCTTTATGGATCAAAATATACATCTTTTTATATATTTGAATATATGTTATATTGCATGGACATATACGGAGATTGTTCCAGACAGGCCATAGATGTCTTGTGCAGTTTGAGTGATGGGTCTATCTTCCACTGGACGTTCTAAAAAAAAGAAAAATTGTATTGATAATGATAATAATGATAATAATGATAATAATGATAATAATGATAATAATGATAATAATCATAATAATCATAATAATCATAATAATGATAATAATGATAATAATGATAATAATGATAATAATGATAATAATGATNTAATAATAATAATAATAATAATAATAATAATAATAATAATAATAATAATAAAAATGATAATAATGATAATAATAATAATGATACTAATATAAAATGGTTAAAAGGGATTGGTTATTTTTTACTCTATAGAGGTTTGGTTCCATCACCATCACCAAATTTTAAAAGTTGTCTTGCTTCTGTCATGCACAAATTATTCTTACATTAAATCAATCAGGCGTAGTATTGAAGCTCCTTGAGTGTAGTTCAGACAGCTCTTTTTCTTCTCTTGATAGCACCTTAATTAAAAATGATATTTAAAAGAAAGAAAGAGGAAGAAAACTGATAATATAATAATAATAATAATAATTAAGGGCCATAGTTTTTCCTAAGATAGTATGAAGTAGCTAATGACAATATTAATAATACAGATCATTGATAAAAGAATTTTTGTATAGATATCTTACCACCTTTTGACCATTATTACCAACATAAAATTTCCGAAACAGAGTGAAATTAAGTTACTCAATGTCCCTTGTGTAATATTTATATTATTAATTAGCAGATTAAAGTTAATAAGTGTAACACACCTATAACTTTATTGAATGTCGTCTTACATGAAGTTTAACAGTTGTGGGAGTTAAAACTCCTTGATATTTTCTTAAAAACTACTCAATGATATGTACAGATGCCCTTCAGGTCGATTTCCTCTCTTCGTTAACAATCGTTAACGTAGGGGTCGTCGTTAACGATCGTTAAAAAAGGGTTGTCGTTAACGATCGTTAACGAAGGGTCGTCGTTAACGATCGTTAACGAATGTCCGTCTTTAACGATCGTTAACAAAGGGTCATCGTTAACGATCGTTAACGAAACGACGAATTTTATAAAAACGATCCTTTTGAAAAAACGATCCTTTTTAGAAACAAGCATTTGAAAAACGATCGTTTTAAAAACGACCATTTTTAAAAAACGAACTTTTTAAAAAAACGATCGTTTTTAAAAACGATCGTTTCGTTTTAGATTTTTCATCGTCGTTTTCATAACGAAACGATCGTTTTTCTGAAAAATGAAAACTTTAACATCCCTAAGTATATAGTATAAGGAAATAAAAATATGCACTTTGACCACAACAGTTGTAATATATCAATAGGAAATGAGGTACTTGAAAGAATTGGCAATGACTGTGTGAACAAATATTTCAAATTTGTTGGACTAAAACCTGACAAATTTTTAAACTGGGATTTTCAAAATCTAATAAAAACTAGCTCATTCTTTGCTTTGTCTCAAATCAAGAATATCTTACCATTAAACATTTGACTACTTGTGTATAACTTGTAAGGCCTCATATTGAATATGGAATTGTTACTTGGGGAGGGGTTTAAAACTCTAAACTTGCAAAAAAAAAAAAGCAATCAGAGCCATTCATAATAGTACTTTCAAGGCACATTCAAATCCATTATTTTATAATCTGAAAGTTCTTAATCTTGATGATATATACAAATTTAGTGTTCTGACATTTATGCATGGATACTTAAATGATAACCTTCCCTCTTCCTTCCAAAACATGTTTAAGTCTCTAGCTGAACTGAAGAGAACAAAATTATATAAAATTAGAATAATCTAGAAAGCTTTCTGTCTGCAATGTTTCCTAATTTGTGGAATACAATTGAAATTGACCTTAAAGAAACTAAATCTGCAAAAATATTTAAACAAAGAGTAATCAATATTTATCTTGAGAATTATGGGAGGTTTAAATGCGAAAAACCTAGTTGTATATTGTGTGAATAAATTTTATATAAAAAAACTAAAAAAAATGAAACATTATTAGCTTATTTGTGTTTCTGTATCCACCATCCTTAACCCCTGTATTTTAATTTATCTCTTCATTAAACCCTTTGATCTTACCCTGCCACAGATCACCTGAAAATCTCATTCCTTCCAAACAACTCCTTACCTATCCAAAACATAACTTGATATGTGTAACCAATTATATTCAGTATCGTTAATTAACTTCTGGCCAACCACTCAAAATGACCTACCCTGGTTAGCAGGTCCAAACTGCATGGTTGATTGTGATTGCATATTTGTAATATCCATGCTTTGTAGTTAAACTCAAATATGAATGAATAAACTGAAGGGGTTATATCAATGGAACTATCCAATCTAAGCTTAGCTCTCAGTTTGTATGAGAACTGAAGGTGTTACATCAATCAAACTATCTAATCTGAGCTTAGCTCCATGTCCATATGAGAACTGAAGAGGTTACATCAACTATCCCTCTTCCGAGCTATTGAGATCATAATGGTTTCAGTAGTTTAGATTAACTGTAGTTCATGCAGGAGATTCTCAGCAGCATCTTTGATGTTCAATGTTGGCTCATCTGTAATCTTAGCTGCTCTGGGTGTCAACAGCCTTCTGGAATTGGAAGATTGAACGGAAGATCATCCTCTGCTTCATAATGATGCTTCAATCTCTTGATCTGAATATATGTTATGTTGAGCCCATATATAAGATATTTGGTATCTCCATTCTAATCTCCCTACTTAATAACCTCCAGGTTTCATGCTCATGTCCAGAGGAAGATCAGTTCCATCCTCATAGATCCTCACAATCTTTTCTTCTCCAGGAGTTAGAGGTTGGACCGGATATGCTGGCTGTTCTGAGTCTCCTGAAGATGCTCTCACTGCACTAACTAGAGAGGACAGCCTAGAGACTGATACATTTTCACTTGTAGCTTGACTGACTGGTACGATCAATTTGGACAATTACCTGAAACCCAGTAAGACAGATCACTTAATTATGGGGACTCTGAGGATGCATATTTGTGCATGATTATTGGATGGGGGGGGGGGGCTAGAGGCATCCTGTGTTCACTTGCATGCCTGACCCATTAATACCAACCAGCTCCCCTGTGAACAGAATTTCATGAAATTTCAAGGACAGCTTCCTTAGAGGTCTTTAATAAATTTATGTTTCCAAACTTTTTTTGCTAAAATGCAAAAATCTTTTTTTGAGTCTATATTGTAAGGATACAATACTTTTATTGTTTGAGATTTTAGCTT